CACACACAGAGGGTGTGTGTGTGTGTGTGTGTGTGTGTGTGTGTGTGTGATAGAAATACTCCACAGTATTGGAATTATGGATCTCCACAGTACAAAATGTATCCATCATCCAGAAAAAGAAAACCCATTAAAAAGAGGGCAAAGGAAGACTTTATTAATCAAAAGCAGATCCCTTTAAAGAAATAAATTCCTTATTTAGATCTTAAAGAGCTTTGCAAGCACATAAGGGACCTATTTGGCAATACGCTAGCAGTTTTATAGCACAGAACACCAACAGTATGCGCTAAATTTATTGAGTCTTTTATTGTGAATGGTGAAAATGAAGCCAATGTACAAATCGAGTTCCTTAACTGTACCTTTAACTTGGCAGAAAAAGAGATACTTCAAGCCAGGTCGCCAGTAATATAGGAAAGCATTTGACAAATGGTCACAGATCCCGGCTGAGCATTTATGTTTGCCTTAGCAGATATCAATCGTTAGAACTCTTCTGGATTTACCACCGCCACCTTCTTTTAAATGCCCCACGTCCGCCTTGTAGAAGCAGCAAAGGATACAGGCAAATTGTGAGCATGTAACTAATTTAAGTCTCATGCGAGTGAAGGTCCTGGCTGGCTTTGCTCTGTGAATCGGAGCCGGGGAGCCTCTGCAATCACTCGAAGCAGCGGCATTTCCCAGAAAGCTCTGGGAAACCTGACACAATTGCCGATCAATACTCTCTCCAGATAATTGATGGCCCACTGAAGGGGGAGAAGAGAAAGGAGGAAGGAAAGAAAAGGGAAAAGGGTCATCAATACACAATCTTAGTTAGGAAACGGAGGACTGGAGAGAGGTGTTTTCTACGGTTTAGGAATAATAGCCAGGCTTAAGAAGAAAAATGAGAAACGAAAAGAAGAAGAGTACTTTCAGATAGATGTGTCACTGGGAAGATAAGAGGTCGAGAAGAAGCTGGTGAAGATACTGACGGAGAAACTAGTGGGAAAACTCGAAAGACTGTGAGCAAGGACTGAATGCCAGTGGTCCTAAAGCCTTTTTTCACATCCCAAACCACCATTACCACAACAGCAGGGAATCCCAAGAGAAACAGTACAGTGGTACCTCAGGTTAAGTACTTAATTTGTTCCGGAGGTCTGTTCTTAACCTGAAACTGTTCTTAACCTGAAGCACCACTGTAGCTAATGGGGCTTCCTGCTGCTGCTGCGCCACCGGAGCCCAATTTCTGTTCTTATCCTAAAGCAAAGTTATTAACCTGAAGCACTATTTCTGGGTTAGCAGAGTCTGTAACCTGAAGCGTATGTAACCCGAGGTACCACTGTATATCCCAGGAGCCAAATCACAACATATCTAGGACCTGCTTACAAACTGCTGCTATTTAGTATGAAAAGATAGGCTGGTATTAGAGGCAATGGGGCTGATCAAGAACCAGGCCAGGACCAAATTTGGTTGCTGTCACAAGAGCCCTTCCTCTAGCCTGGAGAATCCAGAGGATGATGCTTCCCAGTTGTTGCATTCCTGTGTTTTCAGGGTCTTCCTCCTGTGTCCAGACCAAATTTGTGGTGATTTGGGGAGGGAGAGGTACGAAAACATAACTTGCAGCATCAGCCTGCCTGGCGTCAACAGGCAAAGTACCCTATTGCCCTCTGTGCCTTTATTTCAGGGTGGAGGACCTCAAGCCTGGGAGCCAAATGTGGCCTCTAGGCCTCTGTCTAGTCCCAAAGCCACTCCCCAGGCAATACCTCACCCCAGGCCACACACCCTTTCCCCAGGCCCTGCCCCCTGCTAGCCCTGATCCACATCCTCCTTGCATCCTTTTGCCTGACTGGAATATGCCCTTGAACTGTAATAAGCCACTTGCTTGCCAGGATGGAGAGATGCGTGTGTAGAAATCTCTGGTTTTCAAATGGTTGGAATGTATCCTACTATCCAAGGGTAAGAGGAGCACCTGTTGCTCCACCCACTTTCACCTCTGCCCCCACCCACAACTAGCATGCAGTCCCTGAGATGGTTGCCCATGACACAATGTGGCCCTCAGGTTGCGGGAGGGAAACCCAGTCCTGCTTTAATGAAAAGCTTCTCATTTGCAGGTTCAGCCCATTTTATGGCTTTCTGATGGGTTTAGGTCAAGGATTTGCAATAAATGGCCCATTAACTGATCGATGGATGGCTTCTCTTAATTGCTGTGGTGTTAGCTAGGAATGGGGATTTTTTTTAGCTAGGGATGCTTGAGGAATTAAAAACCATATACAAAATGACTTGATTGGTACCTTTCAGAAGATCAGAATGTAGCTATGCACCAGAGCTATGTATTTGAGTGAATATTTCAAGAGAAAATATGCACAGCTAGACACCTGTGGGTTTTTGAGGGTGGACTCATCCATACTTCTGTTTGTTGCATGATTTCCAGGCACAGGTCCAGGAGGCTTGTCTTTTGTCTTGCCACTTTCTTCTGGAAAACCCACTAATTACTGTTGAATCCGAACAAATGTCAATCTTGTTTTCCGCAGATTGACATTTCTTCCGATTCTGCAGTAAATTGCAGTTTTCCTGGGGAAAATGGTCAGAAAAAGGAAAATCCTCTCAGACCCATGCAGAAAACAAACAGAAGAAAATGTGGGACAAATGGAAGTGTGGATGAGCTCCGTGTGTGAGAGAGAGATGGAATATAGCAGAAGACGTTGTGACCGTTTAAGGCTGAAGTCCTCCGTGCCTTTTCCTGGGACTAAATTCCAGCGGATTCAGTGGGACTTACTTCTGAATAAATAAGCTTAGGGACGTGCTGTAAACTCCTTCTCATGCTTCCCTTTGATCTGGAGTTAAGGCATATGTCTGCGCATCGTCTCACAGAGACACACAGAATATTTCATCGCTTTGATAAGTCTGTGCCTCACAGGCAAGATTTCAAAGGGAATATCCAATCACACACACAAGCCTCCCTTTGCTCAGCAACTTTGCAGGGGGAAAGAGGCCCGGGTGTCAACTGTGAAAGATGCAGATGTGATCGCAATCAAAGGCAAGGAGGTTGCTCTTGGCACAACCGCCAGACCGAGAAGGGACTGACAGGGTCTTCTCCTCCCCCCCCTCCAGGAGGCTTAAGAGCCCCATTTCATTTCCATCGCTGCATGGCCAGCTGTTCAAATTAGTGCTCTCCAAGGTAGGATGAATTATTACATCTTATTCCAGCATTTGCCACAGATTCATTGCTATGGGCATGTAAATCAGACCCCACCGGTGAACTGCTGAAACCACATCTGTATTCCTGTCCCTTGAGGGAGCCTGTAAATTAGAGCGGGGTCTAGTGCCTTCATAGAAGGGCACTTCAGGAATATGTGTGGCAATGGGCCAGATGGACCTCTTTCCGCCTCCCCTGCACTGCAACTTCAACTAAATGCATTTAGAATGATGAAGGAGGGTCAGCTCACCCAAGAATAAACTCCTGATCGGTATCAGGTAAACCATGAAGTCTAGTCTCTGCAAGCAGTCATGTATCATCATCAGCCATTGCACAACCTGAGATAATTGCCCGAGTAAAAGTGGAAGTGTCCCGCTAGGCTGCAGCAGAGTCCCTGTCTCACTCTAAGGTCTGTGCCAAACGCCATCAGAAAGTTGTTTCACAAAGCCTCTGCTTGACTCATCTCTGTTGCCTCTTGGTATGATCATGTTCTCACACATTCTGTGCACTGTGATTGACACCCAGCCTGAAGCATGAGCAGAGGCGCTAGCTTGGAGGGCTATTGGGCGGGGTCAGTGTCTCACATGTGACATCACGCATGACGTGGTGTCAGGACGTTGGGAGGAGCTGGGGGCAAGGCTGGACACAGTGGTCCCTTACCTTTCTCACCCTGATCTGGCCACAGTGATCCATGTAATGGTCACCTCCAGGCTCGATTATTGTAACTCGCTCTACGTGGGGCTGCCCTTGAAGCTGATCTAGAAACTCCAGCCAGAGTGCTGCGGTGAGGCTCCTTACGGGGTCCTCGCTGCAGGACCACATTCATCCAGTGCTTTACCAGCTGCACTGGCTCCCGGCGGAGTACAGGGTCAGGTTTAAGGTGTTGATTTTGACCTTTAAAGCCCTATGCGGCCTAGGACCCTCATACCTACAGAACCGCCTCTCCTGGTATGCCCTGCGGAGGACCTTAAGGTCCACAAATAACAACACTTTGGAGGTTCCGAGCCTCAAGGATGTTACATTGGTCTCAACTAGGGCCAGGGCCTTTTCAGCACTGGCCCCGACTTGGTGGAATGCTCTGTCACAAGAGACCAGGGCCCTGCAGGATTTGACATCTTTCTGCAGGGCCTGCAAGATGGAGCTGTTCTGCCTGGCCTTTGGTTTGGACTCAGTCTGATCCTTATGTTTCCCTCCCCTTATGGTTTTGATTTATGGGCTACTACTAAAATGAGGCTGCATTTTAAATTGTATTTTAACCCGTATTTTAATCAACTTTTTTTTCTATTACCTTTTATTGTAATTTTATTGGTGTTAGCCACCTTGAGCCCAGTTCTGGACGGGGAGGGTGGGGTATAAATAATAATAATTTAAAAAATGGCCAGTGGCTCCTCTGCCTCTTCCTCCTCATGGCACCACATCGCCACAGTTAGGAGGCTGCTTCCACCCTCCCCCTCCATGGCGCGAGAAGGAGGCGCCAGCCACTGGAGCCACACTGTGCCCAGCTCCACCCTTGGCTCTGTATGCAGCCTCCTTTGCCCCCTCAATATTGGGTATCCCTGGCCCCCTCCCACAAGATATTGAGGGGGCTCAAAACAGTTCGTCCTCCAGGAGCTGGCACCTCTGAACTTCATGGTGCTCATGACAGCAAAACATCATACTGTGTTATGTCTGGATGCAGCTATGGAACTTTCTCAGAGCGCCCCTATGGGAAAGTCAGTGCTCACCAACTCTACTTTGAGAAGACGGCTGAAGCTAACCAAGAGGGCTTTGAAAGAGCCAGGATTAAAACCAAGGTCCTTGCTATTAATATGAGCCCAAAGGTTGGGTTCTTTTTTTTTTTTTTTTTTTTAAAGCAATTTATTGGGTTTTACAGTAAAAATAAACATATTAAACAATATGACCTTTGTCTTAACATAATTTCACATTTTCTTTGGACTTCCTCACATCTCCCGCTCCCACTTTCATCGTTATAACATTTTGTCAGCAATTTATCATCTTATTTAAATTCTTATATCGCTTCTATATTTCATAATCTTATAACTTTCAAAGGGAGTTAAATTTTCACAGTCTTACTTATTTTCATAGAAAACTTCTAAATTTAGTGGTGCTCAGTTATTTTGGTCTAGCATCTTATTTAGCATTCACTCAAATTGCAATATTTTTGTAAATAGTTCTTGAATTTCTTCCAGTCCTCCTCAATCCTTTCTTCTCCCAGGTCACGGATTCTGCCGGTCATTTCAGCCAGTTCCATGTAGTCTATCAGTTGCATCTGCCATTCTTCCAGTGTGGGTAGATCTTGAGTTTTCCAATGTTTTGCAAGAAGTATCCTTGCTGCTGTTGTTGCATACATAAAAATGTCTGATCCTTCCTTGCCACCCCTTGGCCGACAATACCCAAAAGGAAAGCCTCTGGTTTCTTAGTGAAGGTATATTTAAATACCTTTTTCAATTCGTTATAAATCATCTCCCAGAACGCCTTCACTTTAGGGCAAGTCCACCAGAGGTGGAAGAACGTTCCCTCAGACTCTTTACATTTCCAACACTTATTATCAGACAGGTGGTAAATTTTTGCAAGTTTGACTGGGGTCATATACCATCTATAAATCATTTTCATTACATTTTCTTTCAGAGCGTTACATGCAGTAAACTTCAATCCATTACTCCACAACCTTTCCCAGTCCTCAAACATAATATTATACCCGATGTCCTGTGCCCACCTTATCATAGCCGATTTAACCGTTTCATCTTGTGTATTCCATTCCAACAGCAAGTTATACATCCTTGAAAGTACCTTAATCTTTGGTTCTAACAATTCTGTTTCTAGTTTCGATTTCTCCACCTGGAACCCTAATTTCTTATCATTTTTAAAAACTTCTTTAATCTGAGCGTAATGTAACCAATCTCGCACTTTGTCTTTCATTTTCTCCAAACTCTGCAATTTCCAATTGTCTCCATCCTTTTCTAATATTTCCCAATATTTTGGCCATTTAGCCTCCATATTGGGTCTTTTTCGAGCCTTAGCTTCCAAAGGTGAAAGCCACCTTGGTGTTTTGTTTTCCAGCAAGTCTTTATATTTTGTCCAGACATTAAACAGTGATTTTCTGACAATATGGTTCTTGAAGGCCTTATTTGCTTTAACTTTGTCATACCATAAATATGCATGCCATCCAAAAACATTGTTAAACCCTTCCAGATCTAACACATCAGTGTCTTCAAGAAGTAGCCAGTCTTTTAGCCAGCAGAACGCTGCGGCTTCGTAATACAACTTTAAGTCTGGCAGGGCAAAGCCCCCTCTTTGTTTTGCATCAGTTAATATCTTAAACTTAATTCTGGGCTGTTTGCCCTGCCAGACAAACTTAGAAATGTCTCTCTGCCACTTCTGAAAGCACTCCATTTTGTCCAAAACCTGAAGTGTCTGAAATAAAAACAACATCCTTGGCAATACATTCATCTTAATAGCAGCAATTCGGCCTAACAAAGAAAGTTTCAATTTTGACCAACTATCTAAGTCTCTTTTAATTTCTGTCCAGCATTTTTCATAATTGTCCTTAAATAGACTTAGATTTTTGCTGTTATGTTTACCCCTAGGTATTTTACTTTTTTAACCACATTGAGTTCCGTCTCATTCTGAAACCGTTCTGACTCTGTATCAGTCAAATTTTTCCCCAAAACCTTAGTTTTCTGTTTATTTAATTTAAATCCAGCCACCCGACCAAAATCATTAATCAATTGTAATACTCTTTTCGTACTGGGCTCTGGCTTCTGCAGGGTCAAAACCAGGTCATCTGCAAAAGCTTTTAGTTTATATTGTTTCTGACCGACCTGAATTCCTTCCACCAATCGATCCCCTCTAATCATGTTCAATAGCACTTCCAGAACCGAAATGAATAACAAAGGGGAAATAGGGCAACCTTGTCGTGTCCCTTTTTCAATTTTGAACTCTTCTGTGACCACATTATTAACTATCAGTTTAGCTTTCTGTTCTGAATATATCGCCTCAATCCCATTCTCAAAACCCCGTCCCACTCCCATCTCTTTTAAATTTCCCATCATAAATTTCCAGGAGATATTGTCAAAGGCCTTCTCCGCATCTATGAAAATTAAAACTGCTTTTGTATTTATATCTGTTTGCAGAAGTTCCAAAATGTCAATAATGTTCCTTGTATTAGCAAACAGATGTCTACCTGGGAGAAAACCGGCCTGGTCCTTATGAATTACTTCACTTAAGACTTTTTTAAATCTACTTGCCAAAATATCTGCAAATATTTTGTAATCCACATTTAAAAGGGAGATGGGGCGGTAGTTCTTAAGTTGTGTCTTTTCAGCTTCCGACTTTGGTATTAATGTGATAAACGCTTCCTTCCACGAATCCGGTGCCCTCTTCCCCTCCATAATTTCATTGCTGACCTCCATCAAAGGTTGTATCAAATAGTCTTTTAATGTCTTATAATACTTGGAGGTCAGCCCATCTGGCCCTGGAGATTTGCCAAGTTGCATGTTCTGAATGGCTTGTTCAATCTCCTGTCGTGTTATTTTAGAATTCAGAATTGTCCTATTTTCTTGTGACAATTTAGATAGTCCATTTTTGCCAAAAATTGTTTAATCTCCACTTCGTCTTGCGGCCCTTGGGTGTATAATTTTTTGAAATATCTCTGGAAACACTTTCTAATATCCACTGGATTCTGAATGTTTTTTCCATCAACCTCTAAGTTTGTAACCGTGTTTAATCTTTGTCTTCTCTTCAACTGCCAAGCTAGCAGTTTTCCACATTTATTCGCCGACTCAAACGTTTTTGTTTCATTAATTTAACCTTCCATTCAATTTCCTGATTTATCAATTTAGAATATTGTGTTTGATAAAGCTTAATTTCTCTCAGAGTTGGCTGTGACTTTGGATTCACTCTTAATTTCTTTTCTAATTCTTTTATTTTGTCCAAGATCTTATCTTTTTTCTCATTTTGTGTTCTTTTCTTTACTACATTCTGTTGTATCAAGAATCCCCTCATTACAGCTTTGCTTGCGTCCCAGACGATTCTTTTTCCACCGAATTGTTCATGTTTATCTCAAAATAGTCCTTCAAAACTTTTTGGGCCTTCTTGGTAATTTCCTGATCTCTAAACAAATTGTCATTCATCTTCCATCTAAAGGATCCAGTTGGTAGTAGTATCATATCCATCTTTACTGCATTATGGTCAGAGCAAGTCTTTGGGCAGATTTCCACTTTTCTGACCTTAGGTGCCAGGCCTCTAGAAATCCATATTTGGTCGATTCTTGTCCAGGTCAGTTGGGCTTCAGAAAAGAATGTTCCTTCTCTACCTAGTGGGTTCTTTGTCCTCCAAATGTCAATCAAATCCATATTGTCAGTCATTTCAAAAAGGTTTTAGGTAGTCTGCCGTCTTTTGTAACATTTTGACTTTGTGACTTGTCCATGTTAGTTGACACGACCCCGTTCATATCTCCCATCATTATGATGTTGTTGTAATCCAGATAGTCCAGCATTGTCCCCTGCATCTTCTTGTAAAAGTCAGATTTCCCTTCATTAGGTGCATAGATTCCTAATATCAACAGTTTCTCTCCTTGATATTGTATCTCAATGGCCAAAATTCTTCCATGTTCATCTTTAAATAAGAATTTAGGTGACAGGCTCTCTTTTGCATATATCACCACGCCTCTCTTCTTAACTTTGTCCGACGAAACAAATTCCTGGCCCAATCTTTTATTTATTAACACTTTTCTGTGGAGCCTCGTCACATGTGTTTCTTGTAAACAGATAATGTCCAATTGTTCTTTTTTAATATATGAAATATTTTCTTCCTTTTTTCCGGAATGTTACAACCATTAATGTTCCAACTCAGCAATTGCAGAGACATCCTGGATCTATCTGGTTATTTCTCCAGGGGTGGTATCTTCTCTGGATCTTCAGGTTCCCCAGGTGCTGGTGTTAATGCTGGCTTTGCCCCAGGCCCAGAAGGTAATTCAATTCCTTTTTGAAGGTCCTCTCCGTATGTAGCCAAAAATTTGTCTCTCTCTTCCAATGTTCTAACTTTGACCTTTCTCCCTTTAAAGGTAAAAGATATTCCTTGGGGAAATTCCCACCTGAATGGAATTGCGTTGCTCCTTAGTAGTTTAGCAAGTTCAGAATAGGCGGCTCTAAGATCCAGCAGTTGTCTTGGAATATCTTTATAAATTTCAATTCTTCTGTCCAAAACCTCCAGTGACTTTCCGTAATGTAGGCCCAAAATCTTATCCCTTTCCTCCTTTGATCTCAATGTAATCAAACAGTCTCTGGGCCTCTCCTTCTTTGTGAATCTTCCAAGTCTGAAAGCCGACACAATTTTAAAATCCTTTTCTTCCAAATTCCAGAACTTGGAAAATTCTTTAGTCAAAAACTCAGTTAAATTTCCTTCTTCTGCCTCTTGTAATGATCTAATCCTCAAATTATTCTCACGATTTCGCAGTTCTATCATAGAAAGATAAGTCTGATGTTCCCCAACTTGTTTAGTGAGTGGTCTTACCTCTTGCTCTAAATTTTCCAATTTTTGTCTAGTATCCTCAGCCAATTTCCGATTTTCTGCTGAGGCCTCCGTTAACTGTCCAATTGCTTGTGTATTCTGTACCACTTGTATGGTTAATTTATTTAGACATTCTGTATTTTTGTCAATCTTTGCTGATTGCGCATCTACTTTCTTGTCCAAAGCTTCCAATTTTTCAAAGATTTTGTCTAGAACAGAAACAGATGCTCCTGAGGCCATATCTTCCAATTGTAACTGCTCTGCTTCACCCTCTCCCTCTTTTGCCTGTGGCAAGGCAACTTCTTCAAGTTCTACTTCTGAGGGCAAAGTAGGTACAGATGATCTACGTGTCTGCGAGGCTGAGGTTAGAGTTGTTAAAGTTGTTTGTCTAACTCTCCCTCTTTTCCTTGTGCCACTCATTCCAACGTTGTCTATCAGTCAAGGTCACACTGAGTTTTTCCCATGGGAATAGAAAGGCCCAGAGCAGGCAAACAACAAGGGAATCGAAAGTAAATGTAGATGTACAGTCACTGTTTTAATCCAATCCTCTAGAGGGAGCTTAAAATGTCTTTCAGAGTCTAATTTAATATCCAAGAACCTTCAGATATAAATATTTAGCAGAGTTTATAAGTAGTCACTTTGTTACAGACAGTGCTTATTTGTCTCCAAAAAGAATGTTTCAAATTTAAAAAGTCTCAGTACCCTCAGATTGTTGCAAGTTCCAATATACAGTATCCAAGTCTGCAATACTGACAGCTCAATCTCTCAATGCTCAGGCAGCTCCTGACTCTGGGTTTCACCTTCTAATTTGTAATCCAATAAAAGGAGGAAAGTCAAGTGCAAGTTAAAATTCCGAATCTTTAGCTTAAAGTCTTTACTTTAAATTGCAAGTTCAATAGATGCTTAGATCTGTAAAGTTTAAAATCTCTTTCTTTCAGCCTCCACTCCTCCAACTTAGTTGCTTTTCAAGTTCAATGGCTGCGGAAGACGGACTTCCTGTTTCCACGTCTCTCCGCTTTCAGCCAAGTTCAAGCCAATTTAAGATTTTTCATTTAAAGTCTCTAATTTCAAGTGATTCAGTCTTTACTCACGAGTAAGTTGCTTTTCGTCCGAATCCGTATTTTAACAGGAAAAAGGATCAGCGCTCACCGGCAGCAGCAGCGCGGCTTCACTCCGCAGACTGTGAAGCAGCTCTCAGCGCCGCAACCCCCCTCCACGCTCCGGAGCCCCTTACGAGGTTCCTTTCACGTTTGGAGGGTCACTTAAGGCGCCCACCGAGCCTCAAGACCCCAAGCTCTTGCTGCTTGGGGTTTTCCGGATTGGGTCTCCGCTTCGCCGTAGCGGACGACCCGTTATCTGCGGAGCCTCCTCTCCCGTTCAGAAGAGGACCGCCATTGCCGTTCGCGCCGCCCCTCGGAAGTCCAAAGGTTGGGTTCTTAACCCAAAGGCTGTTCTTCCTCAGAGCCATTCAAATGCTGTTCCAGTTCACTCCAGTGGGAGCTCAGATTCTTGGTTCCTGATCACTCAGCTCTGAGCCCTTGGGGACATCCAAAAACTAGCCAGTTTGGCTTCTGATGTGATGTTGTTTCCAGGCCAACACAGTTCACAGAAGCCACTTTTTGAACCGAGCCAAATCTCTGACCCTTTTGAAGCCTGCCTGCTGCTCATCTTTACAGCTCACTGCTCCAATCAAAAGGGAGCATATGACAGCCAAGCAGACCCCTAAAAAAAGAATGAAAGAAGAAAGGCTTAGAAAGACACCCTGCCGCTTTCCGTGTACTAAATCTCTCCTAGCCCCTTTTCCTTCCTTCCTTTCTGTCTCTTTTATATAATTTATGGTGTATAAATAAATTATATCTGAATCAATGTTGAGATGCTGTTTTTCTCCCAGTTATACATTAGAGGGCCATATATAATATTGTCTTTCGGTGAGTTACAGCTCAGATGAGATTTTATCTCAGGATTTTGTGGTTTAAAAAGGCCCTGATGATAAAGGATGGAGAAATGTGTGGTGGTGGATGTTTTTTGCAATGAAGCCCGACCTAAGAAATGATGGATCGTTCGCTCCCCATATAGAACCCAACCCCAAGTTCTTCCTGTAATCAGCATGTTCTGTTGCAATGATGGGGGTTTTAGCAGTGGAGGGAGGGAGAGATCGCATCTCTGGCCCACTTGTCTATCCCTCCTCTTGGCATACCTTGGTGAAGCACATCTGTTGCTTCAGCTGTTCTCAAAGCCTTTGGCATCTCGCGGTCCTTAGCTTGGCATTGCCAGGCTGATTTGCATCCCAGATCCATTCCAACTGAAAGACCAAGGCTGACTTGCACATGTGGCTGCACTTATTAGCAAGACTTGCTAACTATCTTCGCCTCCAGCAGCTCCATTGTACCTCCAACCCGATAATGCCACCCCGTTTCTGTTCCCTTGGCTTCTCCTCTGTGGAAGTGGGCTTCCAAATTCATTAGTTCTGCCGTAATCCCTCTGTAAGGCTCTCAGCAGAAGCATGTACTGGCATCCACCCCTCAGCCAGTGTTCCCTTCCTGAAGGCCGACTGGCTTAGTGGGTCCATTCAGAGGCTACACTGCCAACCATCATCGTACAAGATAAATAGGTGGCAAAGCAACAGGGGTAGGGTTGCTTTGTTTGAAATATGGCAACCCTAAGCAGGAGGATTGACTGACACATCTCCTTTGGGAGAAGAGCCACTGCAGTTGGATCATTAATGTAGCACAGCAGCTGCAGACTATAGGGAGCCTTGTTCCTGGTATCCACAACTAGGTTGTCCAGATGCCAGAGAGAAAAGCCCCCCCCCCGAACCGTTAATGGTCATGTCAAAGGGGGAATTCCAGACTGGTGACAGGGAGCGGCTGGCGGGACCATGTAACACCAGTCCTAAAGGATCTATGCTGGCTCCAAGTATGCTTCCGAGCACAATTCATAGTGTTTGCGTTGACCTTTAAAGCCCTAAACAGCCTTGCCCCTGTATACCCGAAGGAGCGTCCCCACCCCCATCATCCGGCCCAGACACAGGTCCAGCTCTGAGGGCCTTCTGGCAGTTCCCTCACTGCGAGAAGTGAGGTTCCAGGGAAGCAGGCAAAGGGCATTCTTGGTAGTGGTGCCAGCCCTATGGAACAGCCTCCCTTTTAGAAGACACCTGAAGGCAGCCCTGTATATCAAAAAATTTAATGTTTCTTTTACTGCGTGGTGTTTAATTTGTTGGAAGCCACCCAGAGTGGCTGGGGCAACCCAGTCAGATGCATGGCTTATCATCATCATCATCATCATCGAGGTGGGTGAAGCTGTACTGCTGCCTGGCTATCAGCGATGTGTCAATATTGGGTCCTTCCATGCCACACTATTGGTTCTTCTACAGCAAGTGTGCTGCACCTTTTTCAGTCCAAAGCCCACATTGCCTCATGGGCAACCTTCGGGAGGAGGACACATGTCAGTTGCAGATGGGGCAGAAGTAAAAGTGAGTGGAATGTCAGGCATGTGATTTTCACCTTTGTACAGTAGGCTGCAATCCAGCCATGCAAGAGGTTTCTGCATACACATCTTTCCATCTAGGCAAGCAAGAGGCACGGTCACAATCCAAGGACACAGGCAAAAGCACTCAAAGCGAACACTTTTGCCTAAGTGAAAGGGTGTGGCCTGGGGAGGGCCTGGAGGGCTCTGTTTGGTCCTCAGGCCTGACGTTGCCCACCCTGTTCTAGAACAGCCTTTCTCAACCTGTGGGTCCCCAGATGTTGTTGGACTACAACTCCCATCATCCCTGAGCTCTGGCCTTGCTAGCTAGGGGTGATGGGAGTTGTTGTCCAACAACATCTGGGGACCCACAGGTTGAGAAAGGCTGTTCTAGAGTATCTTGTTGTGAACACCTCCTCTGGTTTTCAGCTGGAGAGGCAGCAATGAGAAACACAAACACAATCCAATATCCAATGTAATTCCCCCTCCGCTTCTTGCCCCCACTCCACAGCTCCCAGGACTGAAGGCAACACCCAAGAGCAACCACACACACACACACACACACACACACACACACACACACACAGCTGTAGCACAATTGTTACAACCTGCCATGGGCATAGGTCAGTTTTTGCATTTGGCTGCCATTTGCAAGGTGACTAGGGGACAAAGAAGGCCCATAGATCTTCATGCTCTGACAAATGATCTCACCCAACACAGGGTCCTGGTGTTGAGCTTTAAAGGCAGGTAAATCTTTTGCTTTTTAAAATCGAAACCTACAGAGCCCATTAATTGGTGTCTTACTTGCAGTGAACCATCGGCTCTAATTTGACACATATTTTATGGATTGCGCTACCCCCTCAGTTCATAAAAATGATCTGACTTCTCTTCGCCTCACTGGCCAAAGCTACTTTCCAAATGCCTGTCCATACTCTCAAATGAAAAATGATAGCCCTCAAAAGGTGATGTGTCAGATAGGTATGAGACAAGCCCACACATGCACAGCGTAGGGAACTGGTGGCTTAAAATTATAAAGATAAGGAGAATGATGAACTCTCTCATTACCTCAGTTTATCACTCTGACAACTTAGGAGAGTAAATAAAACAAACCAATAGCAAAGGAGCAGTACAAATTAAGCCACAGATGGAAGCAATAAGGTTCTGGGAATTCACAGGATATTTAACCTATGAGGCACTGCTGATTTCACTGCCCTATCCATGTGCAACGGTGTCCTCCTCTTACTATCGAAAACACATCGCATGATGCGTTGTCTGAAAGAAGAAGAAGAAGAAGAGTTTGGATTTGATATCCCGCCTTTCACTCCCTTTAAGGAGTCTCAAAGCGGCTAACATTCTCCTTTCCCTTCCTCCCCCACAACAAACACTCTGTGAGGTGAGTGGGGCTGAGAGACTTCAGAGAAGTGTGACTGGCCCAAGGTCACCCAGCAGCTGCATGTGGAGGAGCGGAGACGCGAACCCGGTTCCCCAGATTACGAGACTACCGCTCTTAACCACTACACCACACTGGCTCTCAATGGAAAATCTGTCCATTAACAGAAGAACAGGTGAAATGCAAAATTCCTCCAAGATGGAATTGTGTGGTGAAATTGGTGGCGGGACAGCAGTGTCTGCCTTGCTTCTGTCTGTTCCAGAGATATCTGCTCTGTTCTGTAATACTAGGCATTCTGCAGGAACTGCATGTTTTTTTGTGCATGCATTCTTTGCTCAGAGTAACAGTGTAGTACATGTTGCACTAAAACTGCAATCAAAGTATGGATGCATGGTAAAGGTAAAGGGACCCCTGACCATTAGGTCCAATCGTGGCTGACTCTGGGGTTGCGGCGCTCATCTCGCTTTATTGGCTGAGGGAGCCGGCGTACAGCTTCCGGGTCATGTGGCCAGCATGACTAAGCTGCTTCTGGCAAACCAGAGCAGCACGCAGAAATGCCATTTACCTTCCCGCCAGAGTGGTACCTATTTATCTACTTGCACTTTGACGTGCTTTTGAACTGCTAGGTGGGCAGGAGCAGGGACCAACCAATGGGAGCTCACCCCATCAGGGGGATGCGAACCACGACCTTCTGATCGGCAAGTCCTAGGCTCTGTGATTTAACCCACAGCGCCACCCGTGTGGCGGGTGACAGGCTAAATGGATTCCCACTCCCCGCAGACATCCATGGCTCTGTCCAGGATAAAAAGGCTTCAGTGTGGAATTCTGCTCAAGTGGTTCACTCTTCCCAAATTCCAAGTCATGTTCAATTTTATTTTCCAAAAAGCCTATTTGACACAGTACTTTAATGTCCACCAATGAATGGCACATGCACATTGTGGGGAAGAAGAGATATAGTGCTGGAGAAAAGAGAGACTTCAACTTTATCTGTAATGCAAGGCACGAATGGTGGCCTTAATACAGCAGCAAATATTTCACACCTTGATCTTATGGGATTATTCCATTCACAGACTAATAATTCCCAGAGTTCCTTGGGAAGACAACTTGGTTTTTAAACCACTCTGTGAATTGTAGCTCTGTGAGGGGGAATAGAGATCTCCTAACAACTTTCTCAGCATCCTTAAGAAACTACAGTTCCCAGAATACTCTTGGGGAAGCCATGGGTGTTTAAAGTGCTTTGATACTGCTTTAAATGCACAGTGATCTGAGTCCATTGGTTTGAGTGTTGCCCTCTGGAACAACAAAATACAAATCTGAGCCATTTTCTATATGATAGCCCATCAAATATTTAAGAGAGTTACCATATTGCCTCTTGATTGCCTCTTCTCTTGGCTAAGCATACCCAGCTCCTTCCTTCTTCCATCATCAGCCTTGGTCTCCAGCCCCGCTCACTATTTGTGTCTTCCTCCTCTGGGCACGATCCAGAGGCAATACATGGAAAAGTAACTCCACTGCACTATGTCTTCTGTGAGCAATCATTGCTGGTCGCTGCAATATGTTTGCTTGCTCTCTCTCTTAGGATGACTACTTATGAACTGACAAAAAAGGGGGAAACGCAGCACCAAAAATGAGAAAAGAAGATACAAATTTGTATTAAAAACTTAATATGGTAATTTATATGTATAGATGCAAATTGAGAAAGAATGCCTATGGTTTAAACAGAACTACAATGCATCTCACCATAGTGGGGGAAGAATGTGACCGCGTTAACTGTGTGATTGCTCAATATGCAGTCCAGGCCCTCACTGTAGATGAGCCATCTCAAAGCCCCTGCTTTCTCTTCCAATGATGACTTTATCTTTTAACTGAACTTGGACTAGACAGCTCTTCACATAGAGGATGCCTTCAGGTAGAGGACTGCCCTCTGCAAAGCAGCATGAATGATCACCCTTCCCTTTCTTTCTTTCTTTCTTTCTTTCTTTCTTTCTTTCTTTCTTTCTTTCTTTCTCTCTCCCTCCCTCCCTCCCTCTCTCGTGTGTGTGTGTGTGTGTGTGTGTGAGAGAGAGAGAGAGAGAGGGAGAATTTCCTATACTTATTACTATCTCTGCCACGAAAATATCTTTCCCCTCCTGTAGCATTTAATCTGATCCCTTACATTTCTCCTCCACATATTCCAGGGGAAGAGGTGCTAGCTAAATCCTGAATGCCATTTTGTGACAATTTATGAACAAACAAGCTTCCCATCAAACCAATTCTCAGAAATGTCACTCCAGGCTGTCTCTGAGCAGAGATTAAACGATGGATTGTCAACCTCCCCCCCCCTTCCCTTTTTTCATTTGATGCTTTGAATTTAACTATTCCTCTCTCTTTCATTAAAAATGAACTAGGGAGGGGTGGAAAGTGGAATAAGATAGAAAAGCTTTTATATCTAAAAGTCAAGGTAATTATCTCTTACATCCCAGCCCACCCTTCCAAGGTGCCAAATGAAGCCATCATTAAAATCTGTGTCCATCTGCCGACTTTCACCACATCTAATTAGGTGAAGAAGCCAGTTAACATATCTATAGGCAGCTTAAATCACTCTTTCTCATAGATGTACTGTATATACTCCGCTCCCCTCCCCTGAAGTGTCTCGTGCACAGCCTAGAAGCTGCTATCTCCTCCCTCGCTTTCTTCTCTCAGATTCCTCAAGAATGTATAAGAAAAGAAATCAGGAGAGGAACTTCTCTTTATGACCAGCACAGCAAAGAATCTTGGTGCAAGATATATGCCGGTGGGGAATAAAGAGCTGACGATCCAAGGCTGTGTTAACATTTTAAATGGGCAGCAGGAGGGATTGTGTGACCCGCAACACAATGATGTGAAGACACAGCGCAACAGGGGACAGCTCTAAGCTCCTCCAGCAGATTTGGCTTTCCACAGTTTGAGAAGACCTTTTAAAAGTAGCTGAAAGTTATATTTGGAGTATCAACTTCCTACAGATACTTTGAATGGCTTATAAAACATTCATAACACCATTGCTCAGGGTCACACAGCAACACTAACGTGCAGTAGCCTCAGGACACATAAAAGAACATCCCTGCTTTGGAGAGTGCATAAGAAGAGGTTTGGTATTGTTATGAGTTTGTGGGTGCCTTGACTCCCCTAAATTCCTGGTGCCAGGAATTCCTGGGTCTAGTGGGTATTAGAGTAATGACACTGAATTTAGCAGTGTCAAACTAGAGGCCAAACCAGTTTTCTGCGCTCAGGAAACCACTTGGGAGAAGAGCCATTACGGAGAACAAAAGAAAGGTAATGGGCAATTAGTAAAGCAGATACTTTGTGCCTGATGGTGTAGGTGGGTGAACCCCTCCTTCCACTGAGAGATAGTTAGCAGAGACAAAGCAGAGTTGGCTGGGAGTGGGCTAGAGAGAAGCATCAGTCTGTTAAATGTAGCAAGCTGCGCCAAGGGACAGAGAACCATGTTTGATTTATTTTTGGATCCAAGGCTGCCACAATGGGGTGGGGGAAATAGGGCCATCTTGGAGTGTAATGCACACACACACACACACACACACACACACACACAACCTGAGCTACAATGGAAGGGTTCAAGGCATTACACTCCAAGATGGCACAGGGCACGGCAGAGACTGTGTGTGTGTGTATATATATATATATATGACACCACAGTCTCCGCCGCACCTCGTTTCTAAAGGAAACACAAACCCTGATTAAATGCCTAGACCTCATGAATCTTGCAACACTTGGAGATTTGGGTGGTGTGCAACACTATGTTGGCTGCTGACATCACGGAAATGTTCATCCATGTGATCAGGGCAGTGTACAGAGGAAGTGAGCTGGCATTCAGTCTTCAGGAAGGGTTTGTTCTGTATTTGATGGACCATTTTGATGGTTTGTCTCTTTTTGGTGAAAGGTCACAGGTCCCCTGAAGTCCGTAGCTTGCTTCTCTACTGCCTTATGGTACTTCTTCCACTCGAAGCACTGTAATGATCAGGAAGAGTGGATAGACAGAGCTGGATGCATGTAGACATCTATAAAAACACAGTGTCTATATAGTTCTTTGTTGTGGTTGGTAGGCTCGTGGTTAACACCACCCCAGTTTTAATGGCCATTTCAAAGTTCATGCAGTTATCATTACAGCTAGAGGTGAGAGAGACCAGAGAAAATAAGCCCTGCATGGACACTGGGCTAAAAGATAGCTTGGTTGAGAATGTATCCTGAGAGAAATTAGAGGCCATCAGAAGGAAAGAAGAACTCTGTGATACAATCCGAGATCAGATCATGTTTGGGCCATGCTTTAGAAACTGTCATTGTTTCTGTCTCACTACTCATGGGCATAATAGAGAAATCTGTACCCATCAGTCAAACAGATCAAAGCTCCATTCTCTTTTAATGGCACAACTTCTGGGACACCCTGGCTCCATCAAGACCATACAAAAGAAGTAGTGGTGTGTAATAAGGTATTTCTTCATATCTTAAAATCGCTTTAAAATTCCATCTGGTCAGAATTAAGCATACATTCAACCCAAATACAATATCCCCTCTACTACTTTTAGTTTATTTAATTTTGCCCTGCCTGGAAGGTAAAGATAATTTATAGGTTGCAGCTGAGCTCAGTCTGGTGAGAATCCAAGTCAGCCCTGGGAATGTAATATTTTTCAAGCAAATGGTTCAGGACCTTAATATTTGGGCATATGGTGAGTCATTTCCATCCCTGACCCTGTCCTGAAAAAGGTCAGTGGTGAGGAAAAGAGATATTCAGAGCATTCCTTGAGTCATCATTTCTGCACACTATTGCAGATGACCTTAGATAATTGACATACGGATTATGGTACCTCTTCCATTGTGCGAGGTACATTTCAGTGTGAATTGTCTTAATTGCCTTTCCTGTGGTTTTGGCAGTGCATAGGCTGATTCTTTCTTGGGGAGAAAAATGGCACATGGCAGCCACAGTTCAATTGGCCTTGTTTCAGAAAAACACTTAAGCTGCACACACCTCCGTTAAGTGGAATGGTCTGCTGAATCAGGACCTACGTGTTAGTTTCTGCTTTCCTTCACTGTGCAGCTCTGCTTGTCACGAGACAGGTGTTTACATTCCACAGTCTGTACTGTTGGAGTTTCTCACGGGAAAGGGAGACTGGATGTGACGTACACTGGTTTCCTGTTTTTCACTGTGTGATTCTCTCCGAGCTGTCGAGGAGAGAGGATGCATTCTTCTGCTCCGGCAGAGGCAAGATGTCTTTCTGTAATATACCAGCTTTGAACTGTAAATAAAGCAATATAGAGTATGTAACACGTATTCCTCATCCTTCCGCTGGGCACGAGACTCTGCTTTAAATCAACACGTGGTTATGGGCCCAGAAGTCGAATCGGAGTGCCGGCAAAGGATCGGAATGCAGAGGGACAGATCGGAACGGAATCTGCTCTGCGCGTAGAAGTGATTGATGAGGTATGTGCTACTGCTCCGGGCAGCCTGCCAGCTTCAAGTTAATGGCTTTATGGCTGGACTTTGAACTTTTAAAGCCGGTTTTGCCGGGAATAGGCAAAGGCTCCCAGGCACAAGTCACTATGCTGGGGAAATCGAAAGTAACTTTTAAGTGCGCTTTTGTAATAAAGCAGCTGCAGCAGTGACGCAGCAAGATTTAAAGCAGCATATGACGCTGAAGGCTAATGCCAGAGTCATGATGGCCCTTCAGGATGCTTGTGGGATTCCTAAGCTCAACAAGAAAAATTACAGCGACTGGGTTCAGTATGCAGAGGCAATTCTGCGGAAAGAGGGTTTGTTTGAGGTGATTACAGAAACCCCCAGTTCCAGTTACAGATGCATGGAAAGCTAAGGATTCCAAAGCAAGGGGAACTCTTACATTGATAGTATCCCCAGAAGAGCTCTGTCTATTGCGTGATAAGACCTCAGCCAGAGAAATTTGGGACGCTTTGAGAGAGGCTCACTTAAGGACAGAAGCTGGATCCACTATGTTTTACTTTAACAAGCTGCATAATATGGCTCTTGCTGAAGGTGGAGATGTGCGTTTACATCTGATGGAGATGCAAAATCTGAGACATGAGCTGCAACAGAGAGGACTCAACTTTCCAGAGGCTGTGTATTCTTTCATGATACTACAATCTTTGGGTTCAGGTTGGGAGTCTGTTGCAACCCAGATTGCTGTGCAACCAACTGCTCAGCTGACAGTGGACTTTGTTACTGCCGTGATTTTAAATGAAGCAGATCGCCGGGGTGCTAGCTGCATGGGCAAGGTGGAGTCTTCACAGACGTCATCCCATAGTGCAGTGGAACCACCAGATGGCGCCAAAGCTTTGAAGGCAGTGAAATGCTACTCGTGTGGACGTCTAGGCCATATGAAGAGGGAATGCAGACATCCCAGGGCCAAGACAGAGCAGCGCAGCGAAAGCTCATCACGCGGAAAAGGCCGAGGCAAAGGCAAAGGTCCGGTGTCAAGGACAACGCAGCACAAGGCTATGGTTTCACGCTTCACTCCAAAGGTTGCAGAGGTCCAGAAGACGTCTAGATCTTTCTTCGTTGTTGATTCAGCGGCCACCCACCACATGTGCAACGATAAGAGACTGTTTGTGTCTTTTACACCGCAGGAAGGTGCGATTCACCAGGCGGATGACCACACTATTCCCAGTAAAGGCTACGGAACTGTTGTTCTTCACAGTTTGGACTTATCGATACAGAATGTGCTTTACGTGCCAGACGCCAAACATAATCTGCTCAGCGTTGGACAGCTGAATGAGCGGAACATTGACGTTTCCTTCAAGAACAAGAAGTGCATCATCACAAAGAAAAATGATTATGTATTGCATGCAGAATATGTTGATCGTTTGTTTGTTTTGTATTATGATGATGTGGTGCAGGATGACACTTGTTGCATTGCAGGTTCTAACAAAAGTTTGCATGCAGAATGTATTCACGATTTTCATCGAAAATTTGGTCATTTGCATTTTGAGGCAGTATCTAAAATGCCTGCCTTGGTTGAAGGTATGACTATTAAACCCTGCAGGTACCACATGAAGTGCAAAGCATGCGCAGCAAACAAGGTGAAAATGGCTGCGAAAGGTAAGGTGTCTAGTAGGAAAGCTACAGAACCATACCAGGTTGTTCATGCTGATTTGGTTGGACCACTAGCGCCCTCTTTGGGTGGAAATAGATACTTCATGGTTCTCATTGATGCATTTTCTAGATATATTTTTGTGTACAATCTCAAGCAGAAATCGGAGGCTTTTCCTAGGTTCAAGGAATTCTGTGCTTGGTTGGAAAATGTGCATGGTAAGAAGATAAAGACTCTTTTCAGTGATCGCGGGGGAATTCACTTCTCAGCAGTTTGAAGCTTTTCTGACTGAGAAAGGAATTCAACACGATTTGTCTAGTCCTCGCTCGCCATGGCAGAATGGACTTGCGGAACGGGCAAATCAGACATTGCTTCAAGGGTTAAAAACCTTGCTGCATGATGCCAATCTTCCAGAGAGTTATTGGGCCGAATCTCTCTCGTGTTTTGTTTACAGTTACAATCGCAGGTTATCTTCAGCGATTGGTTGTACCTCTATGAGAAGATGTTTGGCAAGAAGCCATACATCAAACACATGAAGATTTTTGGTTCTGACATGTGGGTTCGCTCACCACAAAACTCCAAGTTAGACAAGCGTGGATTGCATGGTATCTTTCTAGGTTATCAGAAAGGGTCTTACAGAATAATGATGACTGACTCTAAGACAATTAAGCTCACGAGAAGTGTTGAGTACAATGCAAAGTGGGGGAGAATGTGGGAATTTTCCAATGTTATCCTGATGACGGTGATGAGACTGAGGATAGTCAAAAGCAACCACAACAGCCCACACCCACTGATGAAGGTTCTGAGTCTGAATCTGAAACTGAATCGGGTGATTCAGAGGATTTCGAGAGTGCGAAAGCCTCTATGCGACCCTCTGAAAGCTCTGATCAAGAATTGGAGGAACCATTGTTCACAATAGGTCGTTTTTCTCCTAAGAAGGAAGAGGAGAGTGTTGAAGACTTAAGGATAATTCGTAGGTCACAGAGAGCCACAAAAGGCAAACCTCCAAAGAGATTTGCTGATGAGTTTGCTAAGATAGCAGTAACAGCTGTTAAAAGCTCCAAGAAGGTATTTGAACCTTCAAGTTTCCAAGAAATCCAGGGTTTGGATTCGAAGGAAGCTGAGCCATGGTTAAATGCCATGAAGGCTGAGCTTGATTCCTTAGAAAGGAACAAAACATGGGAGCTAGTTCCAGTAGTTCCAGGAATGAAACTGCTTGGAAGCAAATGGGTCTTCAAAGCGAAGACAGATCAAAATGGCAAGATAGTCAGACACAAAGCCAGATTGGTAGCCAGAGGTTTTGCACAGGTACCAGGTGAAGACTATCACGAGACCTATTCACCCACAGTGAGATATGAAAGCATTAGGCTTATGCTCAAGCTAGCTGCAGAAGAAAATCTACACATTAGTCACCATGATATTAATACAGCTTTTCTGTACGGATCTCTAGATGAATCACTTTATATGCTTCCACCTGATGGCGTACAGGTAAAACAAGGATTTGTTTGTGCTCTGAAGAAATCCCTTTATGGTCTCAAACAAAGTGCACGGTGTTGGCACACAAAACTCACTGAAGTATTGTTTTCTCTAGGTTTTCAGCAAGGGAAAGCTGATCCATGTGTATTTGTCAAAGAGGAGGGGCAAAAGAAACTGTACTGTTTGTTTTATGTTGATGATTTATTATTCTTTTGGAAAGATGTCGCAATGTACAATAACGCCCTAGCTCAACTGAAAGAGCACTTTGACATGAAAGATCTTGGTGAGGTAAACAACTACCTATCTCTGGAAATAGAGAGAGATCAAGATGGTAACATTCTAGTACACCAGTCACGGAAAATTGCTGATGTGTTAAGCAAACTAAATCTGATGGATGCTAACCCTGTAGACACACCGATGACAACAGGTTATCAGGTAGATGACACTGAAGAAGCATTTTCTGACACTACACTGTACAGGAGTGTGCTAGGCAAGCTAAACTTCATTGCCAGATGTTCAAGACCAGACATTGCTGTTAGCTGTAATTTGCTAAGCAGACAAGTCAACAATCCTAGTGTCAAGGATTGGAAAGCTCTGACACGCATAGCGCGGTATTTGAAAGGCACTATGCATTACAGACTGAGATTTAACAATCAGAAGTCTGGTGGTCTTGAGATATTTGCAGATGCAAGTTTTGGAAGTGACGCTACAGACAGGAAAAGTACGTCTGGAGTTTGCTACATGTACAATCAGAGTCTGTTTGATTGGTCATGCAAGAAGCAAACAACAGTTAGCTTAAGTACTTGTGAAGCTGAACTGAATGCACTGTCTTATTCACTTAAGGATTGTGAATGGTTAGTACAATTGTGCAAAGATATGAAAATTCCTGTCAAATGTCCAATCCAGGTTTACCAGGACAACAAAGCATGTTTGGCTTTGCTGAAGTCTGAAGGTTGTAAGCAAAGCACAAAGCACTTGCAATTAAAGTTGCAGCATGCTAGGGAATGTATTCAGAAGGGACTCGTAACGGTGTCCTATATGCCAGGTAATGAAATTCCTGCTGATGTATTGTCCAAGATTGTATCAAGGGATCAACACTGTACCTATGTGCAGAAGTTGGGTTTGTACTGATATTGTGCAAACACGCTGCCCAGTGATGTTCACAGAAAGGGGGAGGATGTTGGTTTCTGCTTTCCTTCACTGTGCAGCTCTGCTTGTCACGAGACAGGTGTTTACATTCCACAGTCTGTACTGTTGGAGTTTCTCATGGGAAAGGGAGACTGGATGTGACGTACACTGGTTTCCTGTTTTTCACTGTGTTTCTCTCCGAGCTGTCGAGGAGAGAGGATGCATTCTTCTGCTCCGGCAGAGGCAAGATGTCTTTCTGTAATATACCAGCTTTGAACTGTAAATAAAGCAATATAGAGTATGGAGCACGTATTCCTCATCCTTCCGCTGGGCACGAGACTCTGCTTTAAATCAACACTACGAACATGAACCTGCTTTCTACAGAGGTCGAGCATTGATTAAGCTAGAATGGCATTATCTTGTCTCATTGACAACAATTCCTCAGCATCTCAGTTTGGCTTCTGAGAATTAGAGTTGTAAGAAAGCAGCAATTTCAGTTCCGACCTGTATTCGTCGCCATCTGCGTCGTTTCTGTTCTGCTGCAGTTTGGTTTCTGCCAACTGCTATGTTTTTTGTCTCATCTTTCTCAAGTTTCTTAAATAGCTTGTTTTAATACTGTATTGACATGCGAAACTTTGGAATCCATCTTTTGAATGAAGGCACGGTTTAGACCAGCCTTCACCAAACTGGTGCCCTTCAGATGTTGCTGAACTACAACTCCCAGCAGTTCCAGCTGGAGGTTACCAGAAGGCTGGTTTAGACTATTTCAAATAAATAAAAATAAATGAACTTGGTAAGCTTTTCATATTTCCCTTATAATGAGCAACCTACTATCCTTTATTTCAGTCCTTCGCAAAACAGCAACAAGCTTCTTCCCCTGCCCTTGACAGTTCAAATAACAGAACATTTGCGATGGAAAAAGAATATTTAATGCTATTTTATCTCAATGTACACACTTCTAAAGACATTTTATCCCAAAATACATATTTTGTGTAATGTATGCTTTTGAGCCAATTAACAAATTCTGAGAAGTGTGAAATCTGAGGAATCATTACATTCTGATTTAAGTTTTAGTCTGGGAGGTGCCATGTAGATTGTTCACTTTATTTATTTTTTATAAGATATTTATTAAAGTTTCAAAAGTAGAAAAAAAAAGTTACAATAATAATGATAAGAAAAGAGAAAAAGAAAAAGAAAAAAAGAATAAAAAAGAAAAAAGAGAATACAAAATACAAAAAAGTAAAAACAATTAAAAACAAATCAATCTTTCCATATCTTGTCTTTCATTTACTTGTTTCCCTGACCTCCTCACACCTCCCCTTTTTGTGTTTTGGTTCAGTAAGTTAATTCAGCAAGTCCTTTCCCTCTTTGTTTTTATCTTAGTCCTTTGTCTTAATATGTAATAACTGTATATTTTCATCTGTTAGCAGTCTATTTTTACATACTCCTTGTAACATTGCTACTAAAAACCCCTTAGCTTCATTCCGACATCATTCTAACATTCATTAATTTTACAGTATTTCTGTAGATAGTCTTTAAATTTCTTCCAATCTTCTTCCACCGACTCTTCTCCCTGGTCTCGGATTCTGCCAGTCATTTCCGCCAGTTCCATATAGTCCATCACCTTCATCTGCCATTCTTCCAGGGTGGGTAAATCTTGTGTCTTCCAGTACTTTGCAATAAGAATTCTTGCTGCTGTTGTAGCGTACATAAAGAAAGTTCTATCTTTCTTTGGCACCAATTGGCCGACCATGCCTAGGAGAAAGGCCTCTGGTTTCTTCAGAAAGGTATATTTATATACCTTTTTCATTTCATTATAGATCATCTCCCAGAAAGCCTTAATCCTTGGGCACGTCCACCAAAGGTGAAAGAATGTACCTTCAGTTTCTTTACATTTCCAACATTTATTATCGGGCAAATGATAGATTTTTGCAAGCTTGACTGGGGTCATGTACCACCTGTATATCATTTTCATAATATTCTCTCAAGGCATTACATGCCGTGAACTTCATACCTGTGGTCCATAACTGTTCCCAGTCAGCCATCATTATGTTATGTCCAACATCTTGTGCCCATTTAATCATAACAGATTTCACAGTTTCATCTTGAGTGTTCCATTTCAACAGCAAGTTATACATTCTTGACAAATTCTTAACTTTAGGATCTAACAGTTCTGTTTCCAGTTTTGATTTTTCCACCTGGAAGCCAATTTTCTTGTCCAAATTGTATGCCTCCATTATTTGATAATAATGAAGCCAATCTCGCACTTTATTTTTTAGTTTTTCAAAGCTCTGCAATTTCAATTTATCTCCCTCTTGTTCCAGAATTTCCCAATATTTCGGCCATTTGGCCTCCATATTGAGCTTTTTCAGAGCCTTCGCTTCCATCGGTGACAACCACCTTGGGGTTTTATTTTCAAGTAGGTCCTTATATCTTGTCCAGACATTAAACAATGCTTTCCTGACAATATGGTTTTTAAATGCTTTGTGTGCTTTGACCTTATCATACCACAAATATGCATGCCACCCAAATACATTGTTAAAACCTTCTAAATCCAAAATGTCTGTGTTTTCAAGAAGCAGCCATTCTCTCAGCCAGCAAAATGCGGCTGATTCATAGTAAAGTTTAAGGTCTGGCAGGGCAAATCCACCTCTTTCTTTTGCATCCGTTAATATTTTGAATTTTATTCTGGGCTTCTTGCCCTGCCAGACAAATCTAGAAATATCTCTCTGCCACTTCTTGAAACAGTCCATTTTGTCCAAAATTTGCAGTGTTTGAAACAAAAATAACATTCTTGGCAATACATTCATCTTTATCGCAGCGATACGGCCTAGCAGTGAAAGCTTCAAATTTGACCATATTTCTAAGTCTTTTTTCACTTCAGTCCAACATTTTTCATAGTTATCCTTAAATAATTTCACATTTTTAGCAGTCATGTTAACCCCTAAATATTTCACTTTCTTAACCAGTGTTAATCCTGTCTCCTTCTGAAACCTCTCTCTCTCAATCGCTGTTAAATTTTTCTCTAAAACCTTAGTTTTTAACTTATTCAACTTAAATCCTGCAACCTGACCAAATTCTTGAATCCGTTCTATTACTCTTTTAGTACTAGATTCTGGCTCCTGTAATGTCAATACTAAGTCATCTGCAAATGCTTTCAATTTATACTGTTTAGCTCCGACTTGTATACCCTTAACCAATTGGTCCCTTCTAATCATATTTAAAAGAACCTCCAGGACCGATATAAAAAGCAATGGGGAAATTGGGCAACCTTGTCGTGTCCCTTTCTCTATCTTAAGTTCCTCCGTCACCACATTGTTAACAATTAGTTTGGCCTTTTGTTCAGAATATATTGCACTTATACCATTTCCAAAACCTTGACCAACCCCCATCCCCTGTAGGTTCTTCTTCATGAAACTCCAGGAAATGTTGTCAAAAGCTTTCTCCGCGTCCACAAAAATCAAAACTGCCTTGGTATTAATGTTCACTTGTAATTTCTCCAAAATGTTAATTATGTTTCTCGTATTATCAGATAAGTGTCTGCCCGGGAAAAAGCCTACTTGATCTTTATGTATCTCTTCCACTAATACTTTTTTTAATCTTTTGGCCAAAATATCTGCAAAAATTTTATAATCCACATTAAGCAGAGATATGGGGCGGTAATTCTTAAGTTGTGTCTTCTCAGACTCAATTTTCGGTATAAGTGTAATGTACGCCTCCTTCCACGACTCTGGTGCTTTTTTCCCTTCCAAAATTTCATTACAAACTTCCTTTAGTGGTTGTATTATCCAACTTTTCAGATATCTATAGTATCTTGAAGTTAAGCCATCCGGTCCTGGAGATTTACCCAATTGCATATTCTGGATGGCACCTTCTACCTCCTGTTCAGTTATTTTATAATTCAACATTAGCTTGTTTTCTTGAGAGATTTTTTGTAGTCCATTTATTTTCAAAAATCGATGTATATCAATTTCTTTCTGTGGCCCTTGTGTATATAGTTGTTTAAAGTACCTCTGGATACAATTTCTAATCTCCACTGGGTTCTGTACATTCTTTCCTTCCACTTCCAAATTTGTAACAGTATTAAGTTTTTGTCTTTTTTTCATTTGCCAGGCCAGCAATTTCCCACATTTATTAGCCGACTCAAATGTCTTTTGTCTCATCTGTTTAATTTTCCATTCTATTTCCTGATTCATCATTTTCATATATTGTACTTGATATAACTTTATTTCTCTCAAAATCTCTTGCGACTTTGGTTTTACTCTCAATTTCTTCTCACCTTCCTTTATTTTCTCCAGAATTTTATCTTTCTTCTCATTTTGGGTTCTCTTCTTTATTGCATTCTGTTGTATCAAGAACCCTCTCATAACCGCTTTACTTGCGTCCCAGATTACTCTTTTTTCAACAGTAGTATTCATATTAATCTCAAAATAATCTCTCAAGGTTTTTTGGGCCTTCTTAATCACTTCTTCATCCCTAAACAAGGTGTCATTCATCCTCCATCTGAAAGAGCCAATTGGTGTTAGTTTCATCTCCATCTTTACAGCATTATGGTCGGAGCAGGTTTTAGGGCAAATTTCCACTTTTCTTGTCTTTGGAGCCAGTCCTCTAGTTACCCAAATTTGGTCAATTCTTGCCCATGTCATTTTGGCTTCAGAAAAGAAAGTTCCCTCTCTACCCAAGGGGTTCTTTGTTCTCCAGATATCAACTAAATCCAAATTGTCAGTCATCTCAAAAAGGTTTTCGGTAGTCTACCGTCCTTAGTAACTACCTGTCTCTGTGCCTTGTCCATATTTGTAGATACCACTCCATTCATATCCCCCATCATGGTCACATTGTAATCCAAATAGTCCGTCAGAGTCTCATGCAGCTTTTTAAAAAAATCTGATTTCCCCTCATTTGGTGCATAAACTCCTACTATCAAGAATTTCTCTCCTTGTAGTTGAATTTCAATTGCCACGAATCTTCCTTGGTCATTTTTAAATATAAATTTCGGTGATAGGCTTTCCTTTGCGTAAATCACTACTCCCCTTTTTTTGACTTTGTCTGATGAAATAAACTCTTGACCCAGTCTTTTGTTAATCAATACTTTTCTGTGTCGCCTTACCACGTGTGTTTCCTGTAAACAAATCAAGTCCAATTGTTCCTTTTTTAATAAATGAAAGACTCTTTTCCTTTTTTGAGGGGAGTTCAGACCATTAGTATTCCAGCTTAATAGTTGCAAAGCCATGATGTAGTTACTCTGCTTTTCCTCCAACTGCACCAAGTGTTTGTTCTTGTTCTGTCGGTGGTGTTATTGTCACTTTCTCTGAGCAGTCCAATCCAAAGGGTAATGTAGCTATATCTAGTATTCCTCTTTTTAATAGTCCTTTGTCCGATACTTTTTGTTTTGGTCTTCTGTCTGTCAATTCTCTGTCCAATGCACTTAGCTCTTCTCCAGGTTCTTTCTGCAAGTCTTCTCCGTGGTCTTTCAAAAATCTTTCTTTGTCGTCCCCTGATCTTATTTTTATCTTTCTTCCTTTAAAGCTAAAAGATAGGCCTTGGGGGAATTCCCACCTAAAAATGATTCTGTTACCTCTCAACAGGGCAACCAAATCTCCGTAGTTGGACCTAAGATCCAAAAGGTGTTTCGGAATATCTTTAAATATCTCCACTCTTGACTGATGTATTTCCAAAGTATTCTGAAAGTGCAGGCTCAAAATTTTGTCTCTCTCCTCTTTTGTTCGGAGGGTAATCAAGCAGTCTCTCACCCTGCTCTTCTTCCCCCCTCTTCCAAGCCTAAAAGCACTCACTATCTTAAATTCTTCCTTCTCCAAATCTAAATCCCAAAAGTCTGCAAATTCCTGCGTAAAAAAGTCAGTCAGATTGTCCTTCTCTAGTTCAGGCACAGCCCTGATCCTCAAGTTCGTTTGTTTCTCCTTCAATTCAATCATAGAAAGCGTCGACCTGTGATCCTCAAGTTGCCTATGTGTGGCTGGTATCTTCTCCTCTACAGCAACTGCTTTTTCCTTGGCTTCTTCGGCGATCTGTTGGGTCGAAGTAGATTCCTGTAACAATTTCTCTATAGTTTCTGTATTAGTGTTCACCTTTTGTCCCAGATTGTTAATGCTTATGGTGTTTTGATCAATTTTGATTGATGCTTCGGCCACTTGTTTACTTAATTTTTCCAGCGATTCATTTATTTTACCTAATGCAAGTGCTAAAACATCTTCAGATGCCATGCCTTTTGACTTAGATTGTTTAGGTGCAGCCGCTGATGGTGCAGAAGGGCCAGATGTTGATGCTCTTCGCTGCAGCCAGGATTTCCCAGACCTCGTTGTTTTGTCTTGGAAGAGATCTACTTTTTCTTTTCCATCTGCCATAACACTTTAGCTGAAACCCAAGGTCAATCCCACGGCCACAATTTGTTTTGAAGTGGAAAATTCCCCTGGCCCAATTGTTGTAACAATTTCGAAGACTTCCTCTAGGGGGACACTGTAACAGTCAAAACTTGTTGCATTAAAGAATAACTCTTTTTAAGCCCCCCATTTCACTAAACAAGCAACAATTTCAATTTCAGCTACTTTTCGGTTACTTTAAGATCAGGAGGAGACAGCCAGAAACAATATATCTCCTTTGCAGAGCTAGCTGTCAAAAAGTGCTCTGTTCACCAACAGCGCATTTCGCAATACGGCAGTCTTATTGTCTATTGGCAGCCCGTTCCCAGGTTTTAAGCAGTGGATTCTTACTTCCTTCCCTCTCTTTTTGCAGGAAAATATAGTTCAAACCTTTCCCCCCTCCTCTCCTGCAACCAAGGGGGGAAATCACTTATTTTGATGTTAGAATTATAGTCCTTCCCGATCGACTTTCCAGGTCTTTAACTTACAGCTTCTTTGCTTTAGTCTATTTACAAGAAACAGAAGGTGGACTTCCTGTTTATGCCTCCCCGCTTCGGTGCCAAATTAAACCTTTTTTTCCTTCCTTCTTTTTTTTCCAATTTGTCCTACTCACGGGTAGTTGCTTTTTGTGGTCGCATTTTCACAGGAAGAAGTCAGCGCTCTCCGGTAATGGCTGTGCGGCTTTGCTCCGCGGAAGAAGCAGTTGACTCACAGCACCGCGCCACTCACCCCACTACGCTCCAGAGCCCATAGTTGGGTCCCTTTGCGAATTGGGGGGGGGCGCAAAAGGTGCCCGCCGAGTCCCACACTCACAGGCTTCACCCGCCTGTGATTTTTGAAGGGTCCCCGCTTTGCTGTAGCGGTACAGACCCGATTCCCACAGAGCTGGTCCCTCCGAGTCAGAGGGAATCCGCCATTACCGATGGCGCCAGCCCGGAAGTCTGTAGATTGTTCACTTTAAAAGGTGGACTTGATGAGCTTCTCTTCCATTCCCAAAACTTAGGTTGCAAGCAGGTATGAACCCGACAATCAATATTTGGGAGACGCTGAGGTAAGGAAAGCTGAGGACAAGAGCAAAATGTAGACAATGTTCAAAGAGCTGATCTTGAGAAGTGGAAAGCAGGGAGCAGAAGGTGGGATCACAGCAAGCAGGATCTTAGAGCACAAGGCCAGTGGATCACTCCTGAAACAAACACCAATGCTTGACCTGGAAGTATATTTATAACCTGGCCAGTGCAGCATAATTCAGTGTTCTACCTCTGGGGATAGAGAGCAATAGGACTCCATATTTTCTCCACTCTGCTCTTTTTAAAAGTGCCTCACCACAGGGAGCTCAAACACAATAATGACAGAACCTCCTTAATTCTTCACAGCCCAATCAATCCTGACCATTGGACATGATCAACATCAGTCAGAAGGGTTTTGTTTTTTTTGTTTACAAAAAAATCTACTAATGGATGCACACAGTGTTCCCTACATGGGGAATGTAAACCCTAACTGACCGCAGTTCACATCTGTGTGGAAGAAATACATCCATATTATCAGCAGCGTTGGCATCAGCATACCAAAGTAGACCAAGGCAGCAAATAAATAACAAAACAAAACAAATGTTTGCGAAGTTTCAGAACACGCCAAACATCCTCACAATGAATAACTTTGAAGTTGCAGAACAATACATTTAAACCACCTTCAGCATTATGATGATTTTGCATAGGGCAAGCGAGTGCAGTCACTCAAGCCTGAGAGCCCCTCCGTGCATTCTTATGAACAGGGCTCCAGTAAACTAGCTATAAATGGAGCCTGTACAGTGGTACCTCAGGTTAAGAACTTAATTCGTTCTGGAGGTCCAGTCTTAACCTGAAACTGTTCTTAACCTGAAGCACCACTTTAGCTAATGGGGCCTCCCGCTGCTGCCGTGCCGCCAGAGCACGATTTCTGTTCCCATCCTGAAGCAAAGTTCTTAACTTGAGGCACTATTTCTGGGTTAGCGGAGTCTGTAACTTGAAGCGTCTGTAACCTGAAGTGTATGTATCGCGAGGTACCACTGTATATGTCATTGTATGAAATGCACAGGCCAAAATGCATAGGACCACTATCGCCTACTTCAGGGTTAGTCAACAGGATTCCCTTCAGATGTTGTAGACTGAAACTTCCATCATCCCTGACCATTGGCTGATGGGAGTTGTGGTCCACAAGACTTGGAGAGCAGAACATTGACCATCCTGGATTTTCTTGAATGGAACAAATTTCTGTAACTGTAACCCCACTTCAAAGTGATGTTCTGAATATGATCAGGATAGAGATAGAGGGCAGCATTCAATCAAATTTTATTCAGAATAGACCCACCAAAATTGATGAGCACGCCTAAGTTAGGCCCATTAATGTGCGTGGGCCTTCTCTGAGTAAAATATAGTTGAATACCAACCAACGGATGCAATGCAGTTTCCAAAAAGGACTCATCTTCTCTATATGCCATTTTTGCTGCCAATGTGGATTGGCACGCTCCCATTGAAATCAATGAAACTAATGTGCACAGTGAAATGTTTGTCACATTCAGTCGACAGGACTCAGTTGCAATGAACGTCTGCTGGACTGCATTATGCTGGAACACAAAAGAGCCATGTGCTAAGGCAGGCAGTCCAATGAATCTGCAAGCCAACTTAGCTTATGGTGTTGGATTTCAGCCAGTTTACTCCTCTAATGGTCTCAGATCAGGTTTCATTGAGGTACTCTGATAAAAGAAGTTCTGGGAACCAGGTTAATTCTGAGCTAATGGCCTTGCACTGCTGACACATTTCTTTGCTAATGCCCAGATCTAACCCCCAGGATCAGACATACATGGAATCCTGAAGATATGATTATGAGAAGGATCTGTGTCTTACTATTAAAACCACCTCATTTTACATCTCATAGTTATGGATGCTCATTAGATGCATTTTATAGTGATTAGGCTCTTTCAGGCGGTCCAGTTCATTCAGTAACATTACAATGCAAAAATGTCACCTAACTGTGTTTAGGTTATTGCAGTTCATACTCCAGCATTTGATACAAAGACACAACTGTGACTCTCTTGAATGAGTCAGGCACAAGGGAAATGGGGTGCACGAAAACAGCCAGGTGTGTTGGAAAGGTCATCGCTTTCTGTAGCGGCAAAACAAAAAGGAGCATTCTGAGACAATGAAAAGAGGTGCCAGGAACAAGGCGGAAGGGATGACTCCCAGATCAAAGAGAACGGCACATCAGTGGAACCGAGGCATAAAAACACAAAGCAATTCTGACAAATGTGAGAATGAATTTGTATATGATATGAAGGGAAATGTACACACACACACACACACACACACACACACACACACGTCATATCTCCAAACATTTGAAGGAGATGCACACAGGCATTTCAAAAGAATCTTTCCACTTCATGCTTTGACAGATCTTGAAGCTGATGTTTGCTTGTGCTACCCACAAAAGGGCATCTTATTGCCTCTCATGTACTGTGGCTTTTGCAGCAGACCCCTTGGGAGGAAAAATTGGGCCCCAGAGAAACCAGTGGCCGTGTGCTTCTCTCTTCCTCACCTTAACCCTCAGCCTCTTCATGAGGAATCCCTTAGAGACACACCTCCCTGTCGCCTCTTTGCACATTTCTTTCTCCTGTTTAGGGTTTGGGTGATCCTGATGGAAGAGGTCCCCTTACTTATAAAGGCTGCAGCCCTAAATGGAGAAGAACCATAGCTCAGCCGCAGAGCATATGCTTTGTGTGCAGGACGGCCCCAAGTTGAGCCCCTGGCATCCTCTAGTCTAGTTCAAGCAGCAGCAGGAGCTATGAAACACCTCTCTGCCAGAGACCCAGCATATCTGCTGCCACTCATTTGTAGACAATGGTGAGTTAGAGGGGCAACGCTTTCACTGATAAGGCAGCTGTCCTTGTTCCTTTTAATAAGGGTAGAGTGAAGTGAACAATACTAGCTGGGGGTGATGGGAGCAGTGGCTGAGCTTCATGCTCCAGCACCGGGGGGGGTGGAGAGCAGGTGGGGGTGGGGCTGGCGGGCATCTCGGGGGCGTGGCACGCATCCTGGGGGTGTGGCACACTGCCTGCGGGGGCGTGGCACCCAGCACGCATGGGGGGGCAGCTGCGATGGCACCCCAATGGGATTGCACTGCTAGGGGAGGTGCGCTTCCCCCCCCCCACTCCTCTTCCTCCGCCAGTGGATGGGAGTTTAGTCTGGCAAAATCTGGAGGGCCACATGTCCCATCTCTTAATTAAAATAAACCTTTGCTTGACTAAAATGGTGCCTCGCATAATCAGGCAGAATATTTTCATTCACACACACACACACACACACACACACACACAAACAAACAAACACATACATATAATCTTTTAATGCTGCAGATGGAAAACACCATCTTAAAAGAGGTATTTCATCAGGGCCAGCCCTACCATTGGGCAATATTAGGCAGCCACGTGGTGGCAGATGCTGAAGAGTGGAGAGGAGACAGAACTGTCTGAGGCACATGGCTTGCCCTGCATCCCATTAGCTGCCCTGCTGCCCTCAGGTGTGATGGAAGACTCTAGCCTATCACCAGCTTTAGTACATGGAATAGGGAGATACCACCTTCTCCTTTGCCTTAGGCAGCAAAATGCCTTGGTCAGCCCTGTATTCCACCTTCTCTCTCAAACAGGAGGAAGTACTCTAATGCATAGATAATATACAATCATCTAGATGTAAAGGAGCTGCAGATTTGTAACTGTCTGATCTATCAAATTTGTTGATTTGGGCTGCCATCCTAAACCTGGGAGTAAGCTTCACTGAATAGAATAGGGCTTAACTTCTAAGTAGACATGGTTAGGCTTGTACACTGTAATGCTCATATGAATAATTGTCTCAGTTTGCTTTTATCTTGGGTGACAACCCATATGATAAGGCATGTGGTGAGTTGTGGGTGCACAACAAAAATCAGAACATAGATACCCCTTGATGTTTTATGTGCTGATTTCTATTGCTGGCAAGCACTTCCAGGGGGCTCCAGAATATGCATTTCCTATCCCCCTCCCATCAGACTTGGCAGATGAATGAAATATTTTATATTGCAACTAGCAGCCTTTTATCAGAAATCACTTAAAAGCTTTTCAGTTTCTGCAAACTTTTAGATCAATATGTCAGATTTCCCTGTGCAGAGCACTATATATAGTGCATATAGCAAATTGCTTCCTATATTGGTTCAAAATCCATTATAAAAGGACACTGGCTTAAATCCCAAGATGACATAAAAAGATCATTGGGCCTACAGAAGTCAATGGAACTGAAAATTTCTCTGCCTAATTTCAGGATTGCAAGAACTGAAACTCAGCTAATAGAAACTGCATACAGTTTCTATACAATCGTAATCATATTTTCATTGTTACTTGTTCTGATTAATTAGGCATTACAAGAAACATTATCCACAGTGCTTGTTGAATTAAAAAAAGGAGATTATTTAATCAACATCTTGTAATGACAGGGACTACAATAGATGACAGATATTTTAAGCACAGTGGTCATGTGGAATACAGATAGCACTTTTGGAAAAACCTACTAGTCAGTCTCAATGGCAACCTGTGCAGCACAGCAAAGCACATATTTGTGTAAGAGAAATTGTGATGGGTGCTTTGATGACACCACACTCCTTTTAAGCAACCTTCATTTTAGAGAGCACTGCTCTACGTACTTTCTCCTTCAGAGGTGAGAAGTATATCTCTACTATGGAGTGGCCTCTTCCCGGATCTTTGCCTGACATCTTCAATTTTTATATACCAAAGGTGCATTCGGACATGTGGATTCTTACATTAGTTTTCCTGATTATAAAGCTAGCACTTGTATCCTGGATTCTTATGTTCCATTATGGAACTGGGGCTTTTTTTCATTAGTGTTGCCATGTTGTGCTAAATTTTAAGTGATGAGAAAGAACTGTATGCTGGAATACTGCCCCAAATTTTGTCACGTGAAATTAGAGTGCATAAATCTTATGATTTTCTGCATTAACATGGGGGCAAACAGAATTTTCCTGGAAGCAAATAACACAGAGATGAGCACTCAATTTCCACTAGACTCTGCTAGTTTTCCAGACGTTACTCTACTCTGTGTAAAAGATCGCATAAAATGTGGAAATTATCAGATAAGGAATAAAGTGCTCTCTGAATGCAGCCAAAGTCAAGGCTATTATGATTCACAAAGCCTTTGGAGGGTTATAATTCTGGATAGACTTTTTCATTATACCTGCTATGTTATAGGGAGACATTGGTAGTGGGGTGTCCCAGGGAGCTCAAGCCCCCCACAACTTTAAAAAAACGCTTATAGTTATTGGCTTCTTTATACTTACATGATGACTTGGCATGCTACATAGTACAGTACTGCCAGGGGTGCCAACTTGAATAAAATAGAGGGGGGGAGCCAGGTAAGCACCACCCTACATAATCAATCACATGATGCAATGCATGCACACCATTGGAATGGCAATGCACATCAAATTTGCACACATCCCCCCCAGCAAAGACCCTTTGGCCCCTAGGCATTGGTTCCTATGAGCACTGTGGAGAGCACTAAAATCACCCAGCAACTTGCCCTGCAGTGCTTGTATTACTTTCAATATGCACATAAGCAACAGCTCTTCCCAACAGTCTATGGGTAGGACAGAGGGCCCAATCCATCAACACTGTTCTGGCCTACCGCGTACTGCCTCCAGAAAATCCTGTTGGACTCCCAGTTGACAACGCTGAAAGCCAGGGCTCATTTCCCCCTTCTGATAATCAGCCTAAGGAAACACACACACACACACACACACACACACATACAGAGAGAGAGAGAGGGAGAGAGAGAGAGGGAGAGAGAGAGAGTCTATACTGGAGTGGAGGACAAGTCTGGAGGAAAATGAGGAGGTGGAAATGCAGATCAAAGGACAGTGTGCTCTTTTAATATACACTCAGATTATTGGTTGGCATTTACTTTTTAAATACATTTTTATTAGTTTTTAATATATTAATTCCAACATTCATACAACATAACTTCTCATCTTATACAATATTTTTGGACTTCCGTCAACACCTCTGATGATTTTCTGTTCTTTATCACTTATTATGCATTTCTTAATTTCATATTACCTTTAATTATCCTTAATTAATAATTCTCCTCATTATCTTTTTTGCAATATTTCAAATAATACACCTTACAAAATTTATTGCAAACCTACTAGCATAATTTGTTCATCACAATTGCTTTTCAAATAGTCCGTAAATTTACTCCAGTCTTCTGAGAATCTCTGGTCCCGCAGGTTTTGAATCCTTATTGGATGGCATTTACAGATATTACAGAGCATAGGGTAGTATCAGTAAAATGTGAGGCAACATATTTGAAAAGCTTTGAGGCGTGCCAAGCCTGATGGAGAAGATGCGACTCTACGAAGGGTTTGCTGTTTTACCTGCATCTGAGACTCTCATACACCCCAGATCGCCTTGAGATCTTCAGCCAATCGAATATGTACTTTGCAGGTGTCCAACAGCTGGATATATACCCCACCTATGGCAAATGCTACCTTTGGGACTCAATGTAGCAAAAAACCCCATGCCTAAGATTTGTGATTTGCTATAGGTGGCTTTTTGGGGACGCGGGTGGCGCTGTGGGTAAATCCTCAGTGCCTAGGACTTGCCGATTGTCAGGTCGGCGGTTCGAATCCCCGCGGCGGGGTGCGCTCCCATTGCTCGGTCCCAGCGCCTGCCAACCTAGCAGTTCGAAAGCACCCCCGGGTGCAAGTAGATAAATGGGGACCGCTTACTAGTGGGAAGGTAAACGGCGTTTCCGTGTGCTGCGCTGGCTCGCCAGATGCAGCTTGTCACGCTGGCCATGTGACCCGGAAGTGTCTTCGGACAGCGCTGGCCCCCGGCCTCTTAAGCGAGATGGGCGCGCAACCCCAGAGTCGGACACGACTGGCCCGTACGGGCAGGGGTACCTTTACCTTTACTATAGGTGGCTTTAGAGCTCAACTTTAGTGGCAGGAATAGAGGCATTTGGGTTTAAAAAGACAAATAAAGGGGAAATGAGTCATATCACATCAGGCGCTGAACAGGTAAAGTAGCGGCTGCCTAGGAACAACAAGGAGCTCAAGCTAAGGCTTTGCAGTGGCCTTGCATTTGGTACTGTTTAAATGTGGTGCCAAGCGCAAGCTTCGCTACAATGGGCCAAAGACATAAAAAATGCATCTCAGCTGCAGGGACAGCAACTAGTTTTGAATGCCTCACTGATGTAGGTGGGTTGTTTTTTTCCCTAGTCCCTGAATAACAATTCTGAGACAATAACTTCAGAATCTTTATTGTGCAAACAGGCACTTGGTAACACAATTGCCACCAACACTGATGAAATGAAAATGTAACTGGCTGAACAAATGTTTCCTTCATCTCCTTTAGAAACCTTTTGTCCATTAAGCAAGCAATTCTTGTCAGTGCCTTGAACAATCACTTGAGTGCTTTGTGCGTGTGTATCAATCTCTCATTCTCTCTCTTTCTCTAGACATATATTCCTCCCTTTTTTCTTTTCTTTTTTGAAGAATTTGGGTCTCATAAGTGTCAAAGGCTGATCTACAACACCAGGGAGAGTCCAGACAGGTATGCGGCTACAAAAAATTCCCCATCCAGCTCCATCAAGGCATCTCAAAATTTGACAGGCAGCACCTCCTGCTCTGCCAATCTTGCTTCCTGGAAAAATTCTGTCAGAGAGCCTCCCATCTTGATACACACACAGCCTCTCTGTGTGATTATGATAGGCTGAATGAAGGAAAAACCAACAAACACATTTCACGAGTGGATTAAAAAAAGAAAAGGGAAAAAAAAAACATTTGAAGCTGAATCTCCAGAGGGAAAAGTCTGGTATATTGATGTCTTACTTGGTTGAATGAGATTTCCTGTAGAATCACTGGGAGGTAAGTCCCATTCTCTCCTGTGTCCTGGTCACTGCTGAGCAGTCTTCATAAATCTTATCAGGTGATGACTGTTTATGCACCAATAAAATAACAGAGAGAGAGAGAGAGCAATGACTGACAAAATGAATAGGATTTGCAATTTGCAAGGAATTGAAGTTCAGTGTGTGTAGAAAGTCTCCCAGTGTGGTGTAGTGGTTAAGAGCGGTAGTCTCGTAATCTGGGGAACCGGGTTCGCGTTTCCGCTCCTCCACATGCAGCTGCTGGGTGACCTTGGGCCAGTCACACTTCAGCCCCACTCACCTCACAGAGTGTTTGTTGTGGGGGAGGAAGGGAAAGGAGAATGTTAGCCGCTTTGAGACTCCTTAAAGGGAGTGAAAGGCGGGATATCAAATCCAAACTCTTCTTCTTCTTCTTCCCAGCCATTCCAGAGGAAATCTCATTCAAATGTGCCTTTGAATGTAACACTGTTATGTTAAATACACCTTTGCAATGCAGCTCCTAGGCTGCATCAGTTCTGCCCCTTCTCTAGCCTCAGGATGCCTCACTTCAGGGCATTGCATCATTGGACCTGGGATTGTTTCACAATAGAGCCAGCATGGCATAATGGTTGGAGTGCTGGGCTAGGATCTGGGACACCAGGGTTCAAATCCCCACTCAGCCATGAAGCTCACTGGGTGACCTTGGGCTTGTCCCAGTCTCTCAGCCTAGCCTACCTCACAGGGTTGTTGTGAAGATAAAAATGGGAAAAACCAGGAACTCCACCGTTAGCTCCTTGGAGGAAAGGTGGACTATGAATGTACTATTAAAGAAAGAACTAATACACGGAGAGTTAAAAACATTTGTAAATAAATACAATTTGTGAAGGATTACAGCCTCCCTGTGTAATCCTATGCAAGTAAGTCCTTTTGAGTTCAATGGTACTTTGTCCAGAGAAGCAATTCTCAAACTTTTTTTCTCTGGGCCATACGTTCAGAATAAAAATTTGCTTGTGTCACACTGATTTTTTTTATTGACAAGAAATACATTGGAAACACATCTATCAGTATCACTCAATGCCATTGCTCTCGTTTTGAAAGAATAGCTATCCATATTCTGCAAAGAAAAAGTACTTGGATACTGCACTGCAATGTTTAAACGTTTCTTTGATTGAGCTTGATTCTCCCTGCCTCACTTGCTATCCTTTCCTGCCACACCCTTGGAGAACCGCTGCTCTGGAGGATTGCAGCTTTAGTTGTCTGTGGACACTGGAAGTGAAAAAAGAAAGGAAAAGATGAGGGCCATTGTGAGGCTTGGCAGTGTAAAAATATTTTCTCTCTCTTTGATTTATTTGCTTTACAAGGGTTCTAAATCCCATCAGCAAGACAGTCACAACTATCTGAACCCTGATGAAATGAATTTCTCCTGGCTGCCCTATGTGACTGAACCGCATTTTCCAATTGAAGGGGTCAGCATGAGTGTGTGGGTGTGCAACTGTGTGGGTGTGCATACGGTGAACATTTTTCTCTTCCATTTTCTTTTCTTTTTTTCTTAAGGAATGGAACAGACTTGTGGGTGAACATATATGAAGTGAAACAGACCAGGAGCAGTTGGCACCACCCCACCGAAATCGCAAACTGGTGGCAATGGAAGCATGCGAGTTTGTATACGGCTCTGATGTTCCCCATTGATCTGTATCTTTCCTGGGAAAAGCAGAAGTGCCATCATCAGCTCTGAGCCGTATAGTATATACTGTATGCTGTTCAGAATTTAGAAATTTGGCCAGACACTTCTAGTTCAGCTCTGGTTTATATGAAATCGAACATTCCATCACTATGATGGCGTAGATGAAGCAGAGATTTCCCTGTAGCTTCTTTCTCATCAAAAAGAGAGGATCCCTGCGAGGGTAGGAAATCTGAATTGTAAACAGGTTTTTAGGATTACTGACGCATGGTTTGGAAACACAAAATGAAGGAACAAATCTTCCCACAGAACCATCATTGCAAAGGGGCAGATATCAGAGCGCACTAATTCTGGGCTGCCTGCGTCACTTGCGCAGAATTTTGTCTCCGGGTCAGTGGGAATGTTAATTAGAAGAATGAAATGTTTTGTGACAATTTGAGGATTCTTTCTCCCCTTGCTTCTGATGAATTTGTAAGTGACAGCATGAGTTGATTGGGGAATGGGGGTGGGGTGGGGGTGGGGGTGGGATGGCAGGTGGAGAATTTATGTGTATGGAGCTGAGCCTATCAGAGCTTCTGAAATGGTTCACGTTGCAAATGTAAGATAAATGTGACATTAAAAGCAACTCCACAATTAAAGCCACAAAGGCAGCAAAACGGCAATAGCAATGAAAAGAGCTACGAACTACAACAAAACAGCAGCATTGAGATAGTTAGCAAGCACCACCCCAAAAAAATTGAAAACACACTTGCATTGGCTCAGAGATTAGTGGGGTCAGCCTGAGATGTTTTGGTGCCTGAGGCAAAAGGATAAGATGGCATTCCTACCATGGCACCCAAAAAAACCCCTCACTGGATTGAATCTTACTTTGAAACTAGCAATAAGACAGCATTCTCCACCATGCCTGAGGGAAGCTAGCTGGTGCAGAGGGTACAATGCAAGCCATGTGATAGGTACACATGGCTCTGTCTTCCAACAGAAGGGAATGGCCAGGGATTGCTTCCACTGTTTCCCTAGCTACTGCTGTCGCTTTGGTGCAGTGCCATTCGCTGCCTTCCCCTTGGAGACCCAGACGTACTTCATCAATGGACAGGCAGCAACATGTTTTAATGGGAGCTAAGGTCAGTTCCTCCCCATGGTGGCCACCCACCATCTTAACTAACCCCAAATGCAATGCCTCAACCCATAGATCTATGCAACCTAACAATTTCCTAGATCTATAGTCCTACTCGGATTATAGATAATACTCAGATTATAAATAAACGCCAAAGATATATGGGACGCTACATTTTGGGTGAATTAAAATGATGGGCGGGCACCACACATAGGAGCTTGCCTCTCATTAAAAAGTGGCACCACTGCCCACTGTAGAAAGACGTCTGGGGAGGCCTGGTTGGGGAGGGCAATGAATAGCAGCACAACTTAGTCTGGTTAGCAAACGATCTTTCCAAGCTCATGGTGCCCCATCTAACTGTGTCCAACCAGTGCCCAACCTAGCTGACCACTAGGGGAGTCAAATTCACTACAAATGGGCCAAGCCTCGAGCTGGTCTATAGTCCACTTTTCTGCTCTCTTTGAGAAGTGGTCTTGGTTGCAGAGACTTTCTGAGGATTTCTCCATAACTGTTTTTCAAAAAGGTTTTTTCAAATATGATGACGTTTGTCCTGATAGGATTTAGTCAGCCACTGTCATCATCAGTCTTTGATCTTAACTGTCTGCTAACTGGGGTGCTGCTGAAATGTGTATTTACTTTAACTTCTGTCTCATTGATTCACTGTTGAGGTGATTATGTTAGTCATTAACCACTATTAACATTCATTGTTTTATTGTTAACCTTTCTCTCACTTTTTTGCCCCCACAACTTAGCCAAACAAAAGCGCAATCATTGCCTTATTGTCTTAATGTGAATCTATGATATTTAGTAATGTGACCAAAAAAAAAGGCCTTTACTGGTATTTTTGAGGATTGAAATGTGAGTCTGATGCATATATTTTCGTTACAACATGATTACATTGATTGTTACAAGATAATAACATGATTATGGTTTTTCATTATTAATGCATGCAAAAATACAAAGCATTTTGTTCTTCTTTCTGGGCAAAGTGCATGGGTAGTTTGGGAAAGGGAATCATAACCACACCTTGCAAGCTATGCCTTGAACAATATGAACTGGGTTTTGGGGGTGGAATCATAAACATACAGTGCCCTGAAATCTATCTTTCTCAAGGAGGTGTCAGTCTCTGAACTGGGGTAAGATGTAGATGTGTTTCACTTTGCAAAATCCAGACCAAGAATCAATGGAATGGGTCACGCATTTGCTTGACAATACAAGTAGTTAATATGCTAGCCAGCTGACAGGAAAATAAAAATGACAAGGAACAGTATTATTAATTTTTTGGTGGGGGCGTCCAGCACCTTCTCATTATTACTTGAACAGACAATAACCCTGAGGCAAGATGCATATTTCAATGGGCAATTACTGGCATATTGAGTTTTCAGCCAGCTCTGAAACTGTCATAAAAATGTAAACAATAATGGCATTTTCGAAAAGCTAAAGGACCACATCGGGAATAGTTAAAAATAGAGTAGTGAGAGCTGAAGTGAAATGCTACGTGTGATGAGTCCATTGAATTGTTGTCTGAAGTGCTGACCACTGAAGCAGGGGCATGACTTGGCCCCCAGGTTATGGGTGGCCAGTGCACGTGATGCAACATCATGACGTCACCTGACCCACAACCTCAGAACCTTACTTCTGGTGGCACCAGAAGTCAGGTTCTGAGGTCTTGCAAGGCCTCGGGCAGCATCTCTGAGCTCAGAAGTTGTGTCGGGGGCTCTGCGGCGTAGGTGCTAAGCACCCACAACAATTTTTTAGTGGACGCTCAGGTCCTAGTGCTCAGGCCATAGTTGACATATTGGCTTAGGTATTGGACCTATTCAACTACATCTGACTCCAGCCCGTCTGCTGGAAATCCAAGAAGGGTTAACCACCAGTAGGGGGAGTCCTGCTGATGCACATCAACTAGGAGCTCCCCCGGGGTCATCGATAGGGGGTGTGCCTTAGGTCTTCTTGTAATGAAAAAACAGGCACGTGTAATCTTTGATGGTATGTGTGTAAGTGAATATGTAGTAAGTGGGCAATATGCTGGAAATCGGAATAAGTGTATAAATCCTGCAGGATATATGTGGATGTAGGGGTCAAGGAAAGAGGCAGTTTGGAGGTAATACTAGGGAGTTTTCTCTTTTCTCTGTGAAATGTGACACAACATTGTTCTGAGTTTGTAGGGGACAGACACCCCCATAATCTCTACATTAAACAAAGGATTAGAATTTGAGCAAATTCATAAATTCATGAATTTAGCAAGGGCTGGGGGTAGGTCATCGAGGAAACAAAAGGCTGATAATGGCATGCTTTGTTTGATAATGGTAAGCCACCGGGTGGAACGTAAGACTCTCTGTCCAGTAGCTTTTGGGATCGGACTACCATTGGCCTGGTGTTAGCTACAGGGAAAAATGTATTCTGCAATGGCTTTGAGAAACCGAGGTTGCCAGAGTGGCCAATGGGGGGGGGGTAGGATGCTGGAAGTGGAAGAGGTGGAGTGGTTTTCTGCAAGTGCTTCTGGGAAGAAGGAGGAGGATGTGAGCAGAACTCCATGTGGAGATTGAAGGGCAGCAGCCCTGCTGGCTGGCTAGAGAAGAAGAAGAAGAAGAAGAAGAAGAAGAAGAAGAAGAAGAAGAAGAGTTTGGACTTGATATCCCGCCTTTCAGTCCCCTTAAGGAGTCTCAAAGCGGCTAACAATCTCCTTTCCCTTCCTCCCCCACAACAAACACTCTGTGTGAGGTGTGTGAGGCTGAGAGACTCCAGAGAAGTGTGACTAGCCCAAGGTCACCCAGCAGCTACATGCGGAGGAGTGGGGAAGCAAACTTGTTTCACCAGATTACGAGTCCACCGCTCTTAACCACTACGCCACGCTGGCTCGTAAAGAGAGACATAGTGATGGCGCTTAGGATGCCATCCAAAGCTACACCACTGGGAAGGACAAGCTCCCCTTGGGAGATAAATTCTGTGAACTCTTTATCCCCATCTAAAATCAGGTTCAAATATGTGTAAATAAACTGTATCTCATAAAGACACTGCAGATTCCATTGTGCCTTGTTTCCCCCAAAGGAAACACAAACCCTGGTTAAGTGCCAAGCCCCCTGAAATCTCCCACTGCTGAACGGAGATTGGCGTGGCCTGTAACAATATCCTCGGCTGGCTCCTTGCTTCTGAACCACCTCCTACCTTTATATGGAGCAGTAGACCCCCATTTCCTTGTGGAAATATAGCCTCTGTGTGATATAGACAGACCTGCTGGAAATATTGGGTAATTGGGCATGTACTCCATTAATGAGGGTAAGGACAGGAGGCCCAACATTTGACCTTGGGAATCAGGCCGCTGAGCCCTAAGATTCAATCCCTGGACACATCTCTAAGCTAAGAAGATAAAATTCATTTCTTAGACATTATGGTCAATAAACAAAATGATCAATAAAAGAGCACAATATTAAGGACCATGGAAGTAAGTTCAGTTGTGTGTTTTAAATACAGGAAGGCCTTTTTATTGATTTGTTTAGAGCAAAGGGGTGTTAACGATGCTTGGATGTTAACCGCAGTTCTATTGCACTTTATGTTTTAGACTGCTATGCAGCAGCTAAATAAAAGCTAGAATTGATTTTTATGCTAACTCCAAGCTTGTGTTTCTGAAGTATTATAGCATGCATTAAGCATTCAATTTATGTCTTGCAGCTTACCAAAAATACAAATGTAGCCTATTTATATTAAATAAACCTCTTATAGGATCTATCCCTCTCTTGCTTTTTCTCACTCACCCAACTAAATAGAAAATGTGTTTGTTGTATGGTTGCAGTTTCCTTTGCAGTTTTTCTTTGCCAGCTGGAATGGAACATGGTCGAGGAGCGAGATTTCCTCCCCTCCCCTTTTGTTCAAGGTGAATTATGAAGTAGAAGAGCTGCTTCTACTCTCATTCTTACTCTTCCATAACTCAATTTGATTCCAGTGAAATGATTCACAATTTTTACTGGTTGAAATAGCTACCTTCTTTTTCATTGCAGGGAACTATAAGAGGGGTGGGAAGACTTCAGGCTTGTGGGATCTCCTTCTTCCCTTCCCTTCCCCTCCACTCCTCCTTTTTCCTCTTGAATTTTATTCTTCAATGGGAGCCAGGTAGGGATGGAGGAATCTTCCAGTTTCTGTTTCTCTCTGTTTATTTGTTTTCTGAATCTTAAGCTTAGTTCTCTGTATTTTCACATCAGTTTGCAATTTTTCTAAAAAAGTGTCCTCATGAAAATTCATCAGTTTCCTCTCCTAATATACAATCATATTTATGCCCAATTTTGCCCAATGCAGGTATCTGCCCCCTTACATGGGGGTTACGTTTTGGGGCCCCACATGCATTAGAGCAATCCTATAGAAGTCATGTAGCTGTTAATATGAAAACACCACCATGTCAAAGAGCCACCACAATGGCTTTCATTGCTATTGACACACAGCCACCTCAAGTTTGTCTCTAAGCACACCCTACAGGACTAGAAAATGAATATAAAATTCTTTGTCCTAATTAGCATCATCAACTGGCCAATAAGGCCAGCTGGTCTTGATTGCATGCACCGCCGTTTAATACGATTGTCAGTAGTGGCCCACCACACAATGACAAGCAAATGTGAAGTTGGGCAAAACAGTGTGACATCACTGACAAAAACCACATGTCACAAAAACCAGTAGGAATCCATAACAGTGTGGACAAAGAAAAAAAAAGGAAAGCAGCAGCCGAAGTTAGCAAAATCAAAGCATGCGAGTCTAGTTAGTTTCTTGTTTTGTTGCAACTACTTTAAATTTTTACTCACTACTGTTTATGCACGTATTATGAAAACCATTTATAAATACTGGAATTGGTATTCAATGTCAAAATAACACTCATTTGGATCCCAGTTACATAAGGCACCTCACAGTGATTTCAGCTTCTTATGTCTCTTCTGGACAAGGAAGGGTATTGTGACCTGGTAGCGGCAGAGTTTTCAGCCCTGGTGGTATGAAAAAGAGCTCCAATTTCCCAGGACCCGAGGCACAATCTAAGTACAATTTTGAATAATGGAGTCTTGATATTTGCGTACAATTTCATGCAGGGAACAGAGCCTTATTTGCAGTTATGTCTCTGTTAGAGAATCACAACCACTGCAATGCTAGGGGCAGCTGCTTTGCTCTTCTGTCTTCCCAGTGCTGTGTGCCACTGCTGGTTACCAAGGAGGAGAGGGGTAAGGAAGCAGGGAGCTCAGCAGTGCAGGCGCAGCCTCGGAAGCACTGGATTGACCCTTCTGGGGTGCTTACACTGCGCTGAGCTCTTAGCTGCCTTGCCCCTCCCCAGGGCCGGATTTAGGTTTGATGAGGCCCTAAGCTACTGTAGGTAACGGGGCCCTTTATATGTCCAGCTGTCCTTTGTCAACAACAAATTATCACAAGTTTTTTGTGTTGAATATATGCTATATGGTCATTTATGGACCTAATAGGTATCTAAAGCCATTTGAACATAACAAAATATGTATTTTATCAAAGTAATTGTTGAACTGAAATACAATTAGGAAGTAGTATATTTATAGTAAAAAAATTTGGCGGGGCCCAAGAGAGTGGGGCCCTAAGCTATAGCTTGTTTAGCTTATACAGTGGTACCTTGGTTTGCAACCGTTTTGGATTACAACCATGTTAAACCCTGAAGTGTGTGTCCCCCCCTTTTTTTGGATTGCAACCCATTTTTATTTTATTTTTTTGGGTTACAACCAATTTTTTGGGGGGAGGGGAGGCCTCATTGGCAAAAGCGTGCCTTGGTTTACAACCTGTTTTGGTCTACAACCGGACCTCTGGAACAGATTATGGTTGTAAACCAAGGTATCACTGTACGTAAATCCAGCACTGCCCCTCCCCCTCTAAGCAACTAGCAGCAGCTCATGGCGCTGGGAAGACTGGAGAGCAACAAAGCTCCACCCACTCAAACCACCATTAAAAATACACTCCCTATGTGTTCAGGTTTCCAAAACACACAGAGTCCTTATGTTTATACCACTTTTGGCCCCTAAGGACCCTTCTATATGCAGAGCAGCTAGCTAAAGGAGGGCCAGGGGCCAGGCCAGTAGAGGGTAGTAAAGTTGGGAGCAATTCCACCCCCTCTTCCCTCAATACATTTACTCCTCTCATTGCCACTAGCCATGATAGCTATGCTCCACCTCCACAGGTGGAGACACCAGTGCTTCTGAATACCAGTACAGTGGTGCCTCGCAAGACGAAATTAATTCGTTCTGCGAGTTTTTTCGTCTTGCGAATTTTTCGTCTTGCGAAGCACGGTTTCCCATAGGAATGCATTGAAAATCAAAAAAGGCTACCACACCTCAAAAACCTCAAAAAAGGCTACCACACCGCGTGCTATGAGTTGCTCCTCGAAGTCAAGTCGCAACTGCACCTCTTCAAGCAATGCACCCTGGGTACAGTATTAACGGTTTTAAGAAAAAGGAAACAAACTTGCAAGACGTTTTCGTCTTGCGAAGCAAGCCCATAGGGAAATTCGTCTTGTGAAGCAACTCAAAAAACGAAAAACTCTTTTGTCTTGCGAGTTTTTCATCTTGCGAGGCATTCGTCTTGCGAGGTACCACTGTGATACTGTGTCCAGTTCTGGGTGCCACAGTTTAAGAAGGAGATTGACAAGAACGTGTGCGGAGGAGGGTGACCAAGATGATCAAGGGTCTGGAAACCATGCCTTATGAGGAACGGTTGAAGGAGCTGAGTATGTTTAGTCTGCTTAAGGCTGAGCAGAGATATGATAGCCATCTTCAAATATCTAAAGGGCTGTCATGTGGAAGATGGAGCAGGCTTGTTTTCTTCTGCTCTGGAGGGTAGGATTCGAATCAGTGGCTTCAAGCTACAAGGAAGGTGATTCTGACTAAACACCAGGAATAACTTTCTGATAGTAAGAGCTGTTTGACAGTGGAATGGACTTCCTTGGAATATGGTGGACACTCCTTCCCTGGAGGTTTTTAAGCAGAGGTTGGATGGCCATCTGTCATGGATGCTTTAGTTGAGATACCTGCATTGCAGGGGGTTGGACTAGATGACCCTCGGGGTCTCTTCCAACTCTACAACTCCACAATGCTACGATTCTGTGCTGGAGGGGACCACAGGAGGGGAGAATGCTCTTGTGATTGGGTCCTGCTTGCGGTTTCCCCCAGGTAACTTGTTGGCCCCTGTGAGTACAAGATGGGTCCCTAGATTGGCCTGATCCAGCAGACTCTGCTTACATTCTTCAGCATGGTGGCAATTCCTAAAAGGATTGTGCTGGGCTTCCACCCCTCTGTTCTTCTTTCCATCCATCCCATCTCTGCCTCTTTCATGGGGATGGAGAGAACTGAGAACATAAACAACTGAGGGGGGAGAGAGAGAGAGAGAGAGAGAGAGAGAGAGAGAGAGAAGGGAAGAACGAAGAAAACCAGGAGACCTTTCAATTTTCTTCCCCTACATAAACCATCATAGCAGAAGTTTACCGGCTTGCCTGAGTTATGTCAGAACTATTCAATAAAGGGAAATGAAACAAAGACTAATAATCTCCATTAGGCTGTATAAATCAGAAAAGCCATCTAGCTCGCTCCGAGGATTTACTCAGTGAGCTACCTGAACTGAATGTAATGTATGATCCGGTTCCTCATATATTTGAGAATTCTAGTCAGCTTGTTCACCATTGTTGCTCTTAACCTGCCTGGACTGGGTGTGGCCTGAGGGACCTGAATCTCTGCCACAGGCTGATCTTCCTCACTGATGCTGCTAGAGTGCCACAGGGAAGGTAAAGCAAAGGAACAGGTGTGTTGCAAAGGGGCTGATGCAATGAAGGGAGGGAAAGCTTTCCCTTTCTTTAAGTTTAAACTCACAGAAAGTTTAATGTGTTCTCGGCTCCTGCTTAGCCCTCTGGTGAATCGTTCTGTAAAAATGGCACCTTGGTGTTGCATATATATTGTCCCTATATGACTTTCCTGGCATATTTATTCAGTTTACTAGTCAAAGCTAGTTTCATGGTACACTAAGCCCAGCAGGGTCAACACCTAAGCTATGAAAATCAAGCTGTCTCTTTTCTCTCTGCTTCATACATCATCATCAGCCCAAGCCAGATAATGGAAAGCAAGGATTCTGACCCGGAATGATGATTATTGCTTCTGCTTTCAAAATGCAGGAGGCAGGATGAGTTGAAATAAAATGAAATAAAATCCAGTGTTGTTTTCCTTGCCCCAAAATTAGCTATGCAAAAGGCATGGGTTGTAGCATGGAGGTGGAATTCCAGGTCTGGGGGCCAAATGTGGCCCTCTAGGCCTCTGTATCAGCCCCTGAAACTCACTCCAGACTGCAACCCCTCCCTTGCCACACCTCCTCTCTCCAGACCACCACCCCCACCAATCCTACTTTGCATCCTCCTTGAGTGTTTTGGCATAGCTGGGTAGCTCCATTGGTAGAACAGGAGACTCTTAATTTCAGAGTCATGAGTTTGAGCCCCACATTGGGCAAAAGATTCTTGCATTGCAGGGGATTGGATGAGATGATCTCGGCGGTCCCTTCTGTGGTGATCACACAGGGTCCCTGGACATTTAATGGTCTATTGATCCCTGTCCCACCACTGTGCTCGCTTCCCCGCTGCCACCAACCAGTTATTCTGAGTCCAGAAAAGTGAGCCAAAAAACCCCAAGTTTATTTTACAAACATTAACAAGTTTATGTTTTCCCCCGATAATATTCCTGTCAGTACCTTAACTTTAGTTTCTTTACCGGCCTATACCTTCCTAATACCTTCTGACTGATTAGCTCAACTGTTTGACTGACTCCTCTTAACAAATTCTCTCACTCTCTCACCCTAGACTAGCCCAACCCACAGACTTATCGTATCTGTCTCTTCTAACTCCAGACTGTCTTCTCAACCACCCTAACTCTAACTCTCTCCCCCCCCCAAAAAACCTCTGTGCTTAAACCTTATACAGTGGTACCTCTGGTTACGTACTTAATTTGTTCCAGAGGTCCGTTCTTAACCTGAAACTGTTCTTAACCTGAAGCACCACTTTGGCTAATGGGGCTGCCGTGCCGCCGCCGCTGCCCGATTTCTGTTCTCATACTGAAGCAAAGTTCTTAACCCGAGGTACTATTTCTGGGTTAGCGGAGTCTGTAACCCAAAGCGTATGTAACCCGAGGTACCACTGTACACAGTTAACTCTGCCCCCTGGGTTCCCATTGGTAAGTTATTTTACAATTCGTTAACCCTTTCCCTATGAACCCAGTATTATGTCACACACCTGGGAGGGCAAACGCCACACCTTCCAACTCTACAATTCTATGATTCTATGAAATACATCTTTGAACTTTGATAATATGGTTTCTGCTTGCCAGAACAGAAGACAGAGAGGTGTGTATGTGTAGAAACTAGCCAACTATGCTAAGGTAACATTTACATTCATCCCTCCACCTGCTTTTGCCTCTGCCGTCCCCCACCTCCAATGGCATGTGGTTGTTCAGAATGGAATGCAGCCCTCAGGCTGAAAACAGCTATCTGTTTCTACATTATAGGGCCATTGTGCTAGGTGATGTAGTGAAGCTCTCCAGTGAGAAGAATATGAAGGTTAGGAAGAAGACACCTTAGACTGCAAGGCGAACTTCCTCCTGCTCCTGTTCAGTAACAGTACTACTGCCACTCCTCACAGTGGTGGCAGAAGGTAGGCAGAGCCTGCCTGATCCAGGCCTGTTCACCGCACCAGCTCAAAGCTGGCACAGAGAATGGCCAATATCAGGTTTGATGTTTGCCAGCACTGGCTGTGAGAGACAGAGAGCATTGAGTGGATCCCAGACCCGCTCAGTCCAACCTTGGAAAACCACATTTTAGGACTGTCTGCTGGGCTTGTTCAGTGGGTGGAAGTGGGAGCTCTGTGCCAGTGGAGGAGAGATGGAAGCATCACCATTGTCAGATAGCGGGTGGCCAGCTGAGTTGGCAGAAGCAAGCAGAGGGATGTCTCCATTCAATCCAAACCTCCACGGTCTGCTATAAGAATGTGTGTGTGTGTGTGTGTGTGTGTGTGTGTGTGGATTGCAGCCTTAGTTTGGAATTATATGAAAGCAAAAGCGTGAGATTGAATGGGGAACCAAGATTTGAGGAGCCTGGCTGGAAACAAGAAAGCTTTGTGAAATCACCAAGCAAAGGTCATGGAAGAAGTGGTGAAGTGTGCAAATATGGGGGTGTTACCAAAGATTGCACTTCCTTGGTTGAATGAGGAACCTCAGCAACTCATCATGTTTGACTTCAATATAAGTTGGTAGATAGTTCTTGCAATGAGTCAGCGGTCATGGTGCTTGTTGGCCCAAGGATATGGGGGAATGTGCTTATGACATCCTAGAAGCTCAGGGCTGCTTGTAGGCATCTGGTTGGCCGCTGTGAAACCAGGATGCTAGGCTAGATAGGCTATAGGCCTGAACCAGCAGACTCATCTTATGCTCTTATTTTCTTAAACATTACACACACTCCATCTGAGCTCTTCTTCAGCTTGGATTTTACAGTAGCAGCAGCAGCAGCAGCAGCAGCAACAGCAACAGCAACAGCAACAGCAACAGCAACAGCAACAGCAACAGCAACAACAATTTTATTTTATTATGTGAGAAAGTGAAAGACTATGGAAAATGAGCGAGGTCCCAACTAAAGAAGAATGGCAACTTAGACTAATGGAATATGCGCAGCTTGCGGACCTAACATATGGAATAAGAGAACAAGAAGAACATACGTTTAAAGAAGATTGGAAAATGTATATTGAATATATGGGGGGAAATTGTGTACACTTGAAAATGTTGGCAGCATTAAGATAAATTCAGCAGTGTAAATATGTTTTGATGGATGTAATAATGGAATACTGAATGGTTTAGTTTATGTAAATATGCAGGGATTTATGTTATGCAAAATGAACCACGGAAAGAGAAGAAGGGGGGGGTCATTGATATTTTAAGGTTCTTTAAATGAATATTCTAAAATGTAAAACAGAAAATATATTAAAAAATTAGGGGGGGGGGATGAAAGACTATTTAACTATCCCAGCTGCCAGCACCTTTGGTACTGCATTTGGTATAGCAAAATTTAAAATTTAGGTAAACAGGATATTTCAAATCTTATTGGCACTGTATATAATTTCCTGCCAAAATGTCCATCAAGAGTGGATAAATACTATTATTTCTTCTCATTTATAATATAATCCACTTTTTTTTTTTACCATCTCCCTTATATTTGATATGTCTCAGTCCACCTCCAGAGCTGATTTGGGGGGGGGGGGGAGAAGAGAGGAAGACAAAGTTCTATTGCATAGGCAGAAGTACTTGCACTAATGGGACAACTTTGTTGGCTACAACCCCAAGCGCTACACATGGAATACACTAACCCGTGTTATGCCTGTGCACACAAGCACATTAGCATATCTGCTGCCAGCATTTTTATTTTGATCCCGTGCAGAACAAAACCAGGAAGAAAGCTGCTATGCAACAAAGGGAGGGTCCTCCATGTGAGTGTGCTTACCATGAAACCTGAAATTTGTGATAACTATGGGTAACTCAGATGACCCATTAGCCACTTGCCCAACCTGACCTTGAGAATAAAAGATCAACAATATGTAAATTGCCCTTTGCTCTCTCTATGTTCAAAGTGCCCAACCCTAAACCACGATGAACATTTCACCTAAAGCTGTTTGGCACGATAGATCAGCTCATTCTGCACCTTGCTTTCCCCCATGTTTTGCTGGGTAATGCCATTAAAATGCTAAAAATGTAATTAAGAGCCCAACTGAATATTATGTGGCATGTTGAGTAGTGCCTCCAGCTTCCTACAGCCTCTTGCTTAATATGCTTCCCTTGCTGAAAAGCACATCTCCTAAAAGCTTCATTGCAAATTTTCCATTTTCGCTTATTGTTATGTTTAGCATGCAATTGGCAATCGGCACCTGCATTTGAATGGAACTCAGCGTGGCCTCCGCTATTGATTAATTTGTGCTAATTAAAAACAGCAGTGATTCTGCGGAAAAAGAAATATGTGTAAGTGTCAATAAATTACAGGAAATTTCTTAGATTAAAGTTGGCCAATTTCTGCTCGAAAATAACTAAACAAATGTTAATGGCCTTTCCCAAGGAGCTGGATGCATCCACAGGGATTCTGGAAAGGCTGCAAAACCATTTGTCAAAGCCTCTTATTGAGTTATGTAGGGCAAGTTCATGCCAGCTTTTTTTTCCTCCCTAAGATACATCCCAGGAAAACTGGTGCTTTTCACAGGAAATCTGAAGTACAGTCACTCATTAGTACTCTCCTCATGGGCTCAATGCTTGAATATATATTTGGTGGCTTCTCAATTTCAGGTATTTCAAAAAGATCCAGATTATGAAGATCCATTTCATTCTGGTTTCAGGCCCAGTTTTGGTATGGAAACAGTCTAGTTCTTTGCCAGGAAGTAAACCGGAGGAATGGTTTTGTTGGTTCTGCATAGTAGCTTTCAGTAGCTTTGATCATTGTTTCATCTTTGACTTCCTGGCCAGCACAGGACTTGAGGACACTGTCCTACAGTGGATCTGGTCCTTCCTGGAGGGAGAAACCTTGGAAGGTAGCAGGGCTTTTGTCCAGCAGGAACTCACTGGATCTCAGTTCTGGCACCTCTCAGGTGGGCACCACTGACATAATAAGAGAAGAAGGGAGGCGTTCATGGTGAGTTCGGGTACCTATTTTCCTAGAAAAATAGCACTGAAAGGTGGCATTAGAGACTCTTGTTCATCATCATAGCCATTGGCTTGCGGTACCTGTCAGGGTTCTATTCTGTTCCCCATACATCTATGTAAAACTGCTGGAGAAGGCCATCGGGGAATGTAGAGTGGAGCTCTATCTCTCCTTCAGTTGCAGTCCAAGGGCCCAGGGTATGTGCACAGTACCACCTGAACTGAGTAGCTCAGCAACATTCATGGTAAGTCAAGCTGCTTCTCTGGGAATAGGAATTTGTCCTGTTTAGGATAAGGTTAAACTCCATGGGTTTTGACACTATTACTGGATGCTCAGTTGGCCAGATGTGCCTTTGCCCAGAGTGCAGATGTGGTCAGGGTATCACATGTCTTATTAGGACTACTGCAATGTGCTGCATGCCTTTGAAAAGTGGCTGCAAACTTCCGTTGGCCCAGAGTGCAGAAGCGAGGTTATTCACTGAAGTTGCCTTTTGGGATCATGTACCTTCACTGTTGAAACAGCTGCAGCGGAGTCTGACTTGTTTCCAGGCTCAATAAAAAGTGCTAATGATGACCTTTTTACAGCCCTTTATGGCTTGGGACCAAGTTATCCGAAGAACTGCCTTCTACTGCATAAACCTGCCTGCTTAAAACAAATGCTTTACAAATTATACGAAAGTCCTGCTCACAATCTCAGCAGCACAGGACACCTTGAAAGCGAGATTCTAGCCTGGCTGCACTTCCTGATTTGACCATGTCGCCATGCAACTTCTTTCCAGGAACACTTTCCAGGCTAGAATCCCACTGCAAGTACAAATGGGGCACTGTAAATCTGGTTAAAGTGTGGGTGGGTGGGAATCTCTCAATCACTTAATTACAGTCATAAAGAAACACAAGCGCACACACCAGTCCCTCAAAACATCCTTTTAATGCAAAGTTATGCAGCTGCACCTGCTGCCCTTTTCTGACGCATACCGCCAATGTGGCCATGCAGTAGTTCTTCTTCTGCCTCTGATGCTGTGTCAATAGCAGCACCAGTCACCACCAGACCCTTGGGCAACTGGGATGGGGGCAGTGCTACTTTTGAAGGAGAGTCTTGCTTAGCTCCTGTCCACAGTGGCTGCCCACCTTTTGAATTTACCTAAAATGCAGTGCTCCAGCCTACATATCTGTGAAATCTACAGTATAGGCTAGAACATCACATTTCTGATAAATTAAGATGGCTGCCAGACACTGTGGATGGGAGCTGGGCCTGGCTCCCCTTCAAAATCAACACTGCTGCCTGCATCACTCCTAAATGGTCATCCAGGGGCCTGCAGCATAGCTGGATGGGTCTGGCAAGGAGCCCTTCTGAGTCCCTGAGAGTTTGGGCAAGTGCCTGACGTCTGGGCTTGGAGGACAGGAAGTGGATAGCTGCCAGAGAAGGGCTGGCGTTTGGGTCCTTTGAGTACTGAAAGCCCCCTTGAGACTTTTTTGAGCTGTCACCATTAACACCTGCAAATGCATTTTTGGGACGAGCACAAGGCTCTTCACCCATCTCTGAACAATTGCAGGGGAGTTATCCTCTCCCAAAAAACCCCTTTATCAACTCAATACAGCTCACCTGCCCTACCAGTGAAGTTTCAACTGAGAGATAAAAAATGATGCATGAAAATGGGTGTAGAGGGGTTACCCTGCACAGCGCATGGGAGTGAACACCAAAAGGTAATAGGGGAGGGGAAATGATGTGGGTTTAGGTGGGACAGCAGGGGTGGTGGTGGAAGAAATTGAAAGCACATAAACATAGAAGAATATGAAATGGTCTAAGACGGTCTTCAGATGCAGATATGTATATAATCCATATTTGAAGTTTCCTTCCGCCTTAGTTATTACAGACAGCTGGGGAAGGGGGAGGGGTGGCAGGGGGCTGCTTTGAAAAACGTTTCACCCCTGTGTCCCTTTCACTGATTATATTTCAAAGCCTTTTCAGAGAGGGAGGAGGGGAGGACAAGTGATGTGCAAAGACTAAAAAGCCAAGATCAGCAGTAATTCTGTTGGCACAGTATTTCATTGGCTGTTGGCAATCGCCGCTCTGTTGCCTTGTCTCGGAGAGTAAGGAATTAATGATCGCATTTCCAATCATTGACTGCTGTATATCAGATACTTGGCGGCTTCTCCTCTGACTCAGTGAGGCTGTCACCATCTAGAAAGATTAGATTTAAAGAATAGCCAGATGTAACACTGGGGCCATGGGAGAAAGAACCAGAAACGGTTCAATGCAAGGGGTAGAACTGTGCTGCTTTAACTGTGCTGCTTTCTTGCCAAAGCTCCAGTCCCAATACGATCTACTCAGAAGCAAATCCCATTGACTCAGTGTGATATACATCCAAGTGAAAATGGGTAGGACTGGGTTGAAGGAAATGAAAGTGATTATATTGTTCTTTTTGTGTGTATTGCATCATCTCTCAAAACACACAATGCCCTTGGTCCTCTGATCTGCATAGAGACACAGGCAGGCCCACACAGCCAGTGTGGACACATCTATGTCACAGTGCTCACCTAGACCTAAGGATAGTTCATGTTTAAAGGCAGCTGGATAGCTCAGTTGGTTAGAGCATGGTGCTGATAATGCCAAGGTTGCAGGTTACAGAGGGTTGGACTTAGATGGTCCTCAGGGTCCTTCCAACTTTACAATTCTATGATTCTACCTGATTCACACTTTCCAAAACTCAGGGATTCCAGCACATACCATAAAGCGAGGTTTGCATAATGAAAGTAGGTTGAAGCGCTCTGTTGCTCTAGCTAGCACAATAATTTCACTTTCATTTTTGCAGTTAGGAAAGTGAGGAGAAAATGCACTGAAAGAGCTGAGCTGAATGGATGGTCATTGGGAAAGCATATGAACCCAACAAGCAAATCAGGATAAAGTCTCACTGTTGTATAACTGCCCCTGCAAACAAATCTGAAATAATGCTCAATAAAGACTGGACACAGTCTAACCTCCATGTAGGCAGAACAGAAGAAGAAGAAGAGTTTGGATTTGATATCCTGCTTTATCACTACCCGAAGGAGTCTCAAAGCGGCTAACATTCTCCTTTCCCTTCCTACAAACACTCTGTGAGGTGAGTGGGGCTGAGAGACTTCAGAGAAGTGTGACTGGCTCAAGGTCACCCAGCAGCTGCATGTGGAGGAGCAGAGATGCGAACCCGGTTCCCCAGATTACGAGTCTACTGCTCTTAACCACTACACCACACTGGCTGAATGCTGGCCGTCACACTCACATTCTTTGTACATGCTCCTGAATTAGTGGCATTGCCTCAGTACTACTGTCTATACACATACAGTGGAACCTCAGTTTTCGAAGACGGTTCGACTTCCAAAACGTTTGAAAACCAAGGCGTAAAGGGCTGTTGGCAAATTCAATTGAGAATATGGAAAAACATGCAGTGGAAGCTGTTCAACTTCTGAGGTCCATTTGAAAATGGAAGCATTTACCTACTTCTGGGTTTTCGGCTCGGCATTTGGGTTCTGAAACGTTCGGCTTCCGAGACGCTCAAAAACTGAGGTTCCACTGTATCAGCTTGTATAAATATATATGGTCTATGTTAGTGTGGGGACATGTTGACAAGAAAGAGAGACAGAAATCCTTTATGTGTCAGTCTTGGGCTCCTAGCACAGACCATGATGCTGCTGGCATCTTTTTCTGTGTGAAGGAGAAGCCAATTTGAGCTCCCCAGTTGCTGTCAGCGGCTGCTGTTTCTACCATTCTGTTTCTTTTCTACTATTACTGTAATTACCGAAACCCAATTAGTGCAACACTTAATAATGATATAAAAACCTTGATAGTTCAGGGAGTGGCCTCCAAAAAAACCTATACAGGACGAGTAAACCAAATTGCTTGGTAATTATTGATGTGAATGGCATCGTAAGCAGTAGGATTCTTCGGTTTGTGACAATACTGTTAGCTGATTTTCGAGTGGGAGGAACAAATCCCCAGGAAAGAGAAGTGTTACGATACCTGACACACTGCCTGAGAATATAATACACAGGCTTTGCCGCAAAGCGATCTATTTATGTCACTTATTGCAGGGTTCAGTGTCATGTCTGTATTTCAGCCCTTGCGCAGTGCAAAGCATCATGGGAAGAACAAGGGCTTAAAATGTCAGCTTAGCATTAAAGGCCTGAACTTCCCGGCATTAGAATCAGGTGACCAAGAGGAAATCCGATCCAGGACATAGTATCCATCTCCTCAGAGGTATGCGCCAGATCAAAAAGAATTGTTATAGGCTTCTATTTTTCATTAGGTCAGACAGTAGCCGTTCCCTGATTCCTTGGTCACACTAGTTATCTGTCCAGGAATGGAAAGCATAAATCACTTTTTTTTAAAAAAGTGTGGTTTTATTAGTACATTGATCTATAAGTTCATATATAATTTCTGGATCAGGCCAGTGGCCCATCTAGTCCAGCACCCTGTTCCCAAAGTTTTCAGCCAGATGCCTATAGGAAGTCCATTTATACAATGGTGCCTCGCAAGACGAAATTAATCCGTTCCGCGAGTCTCTTCGTCTAGCAGTTTTTTCGTCTTGCGAAGCAACCCTATTAGCGGCTTAGCGGCTTAGCGCTATTAGCGGTTTAGCGGCTATTAAAGGCTTAGTGGCTTAGTGGCTTAGCGGCTTAGCAGCTAAAAGGCTATTAGCGGCTTAGAAAAAGGGGGGGGGAAGCGAGAAAAAATCTCAAGACTCGCAAGACATTTTCGTCTTGCGAAGCAAGCCCATAGGGAAATTCGTCCTGCGAAGCGCATCGAAAAACAGAAAACCCTTTCGTCTAGCGGGTTTTTCGTCTTGCGAGGCATTCGTCTTGTGGGGCACCGCTGTATATTGGTAACATTTTATGTCAACTTATTATTAATATTTGCACTTATGGGAGTTTTAAAATGAATATTATAGATAGTTAGCTGCAAATCTCTTGAAGGTTTTATGTTTATAAATTTTAAATCTTAAAAACGCATATGCTAAATAAAAATAACTTTTTCTAACAGCACCCCCAGACTGTTGTGGCCAAAATGGGGTCATTGAGTAGGCTTGCCATACGTCCAGAAAATTCTGGACATACCAGGAAATCGGATGCCAAAAATGGCGTCCTGGGGGGAAATTTTGAATTTTAAGAGATGTCCAGAATTTCCCATATGTATGGCAACCCGGGTTTCTTCGGTTTTCTTTCCCGCTGAGTAGCAGAAGAATTGTCCCCCCTCCTTACGTGGGAGACCCAAAGTGTGCTCGTGCCCCCTGCCTTCCTACACACTGCATTGTTTCCATTTTCAATTATTGTGATGTTGTGAAGCCTATAATGCACCACAGCAGCTAGCAACCTTGAGCCTGAAAGGAGGGGCCTTTAGTACTTAGCATAGTTACCCATGAAAGAAATACAGCTCAATCCTATGCACGTCCACTACGAAGCAATTCCTGTTCAGTGGGAGATCAGTGGCAGACACAGCCATCTTCTGGAATTCACATTTATTCAAATTTCGCAATGCTGTTCTCCAACCGAGCAATGTGTACAAAGATGCATATACAAAAATGTGCATTAAAATTAATATATTGGTGAGAAAAACACACGCATGTGCATTATATTAAGGGAAATGGCAAAATGTATATACAATAAAAGTCAAAAATGCATACAAAATGTATATATTAGGAGAAATTCATGATGAATTTTCATGAGGGCTTTTTTTAATGGCACAAGTTAATTGGGAAATGTGGAGAAACAGAGTGGAAAAACGAGAAACGGAGAGAACCCAAAATTGACAGACTTGCCCATCAGTAGCAGCAGGGTCACAAGAGTTAGTATAAGAAGTTCCATAAAAGAATAGTGTCCTTCACGATTACTCCCATAGGAATGTTATACTCACTCACAACAATAATATTTTAAAAACCACAGAATGGGAGAGACATGCAAGCAGAACAAAGGCAGTTCCATTTTGCACAACCTGCCGGCTGTCCTTTATTACCATCTCATCTGGATTCATATCAGGAATGAGAACATCTCTAACAAAAAGCAGCAAATATTAGTTGTTAAATATGAAATGTTAAGCTCTTATTGGCTGGAGTGGATTTCAAGGTTCATTTGAGTGACCTCCACAGGGTGAAATAATGGGCTACAGACAAAACAATGGCTCAGCAGCAGTAGGTAAGAAGGATAATGCACAGACTTGTATCTTAACTTGCATCTAATTTGCCTTTCACAAACTACATTGACTTCAAGGCCATTGACTCGCTTTGACTTTACAGAGGCACAGGGTGGTTTCTATGGCTCCATTTCCAAAGTCTCCTGAGAGAGGAAGCTCAGAAGAGAATATGAATTATTCACAATGGAATAGCACAGAAATACATAACCTTTTACTAAAGGATCAGATTCAGGACCAATGGGATGCTGAGTGGTTAATTTAGGCTACAGACTCACAAGAGTCATTTGAAGTAGGCCTCATTGAAAGCACTGAATATAAAGGCATACCATTTTATTCTGGTTTCAGTAATCTATAAAAAATAACACCCTCTCACAACCACTAACATGATTTCCACTCCATACATAGAAAGGTTGGGGAGGCTCCATGTGTGAATATGAAGCGGTGATGATTTTGCCTAAGATATATACTTGTGGATATTAATTTAGTGGTTTTGTGGAACTTTGAATTGCTATTGAGATGTCCTTCCAGCTGTGAGGAAGCCACCCATTGATCAAGTGCTTTTTCATGGTGGGAAGAAGGTTTCAATGGCCTAACCGCCTGATCCATGAAACCTTATCGTGATTAAACTAGCAGCCCTTACCCCAGACCCTCCAGGTGTCCCTTTTTCCAGGGACATCCCTGATTTAGAGAAGCCGTCCTGCTTTCTGATTTGATCCTGGAATGTCCCACTTTCCCTTAGGATGTCCCTATTTCCATTGGAGAAATTTTGGGTGATATGGAGTTCTCTAACCCCCAAGCTATCTGAAGGCAATCCTGTATAGGGAACAGTTTGGTTTTTTTAAAAAAATTGTTTAATGTTTTAATGTGACGCGGGTGGCACTTTGGTTTAAACCACTGAGCCTAGGGCTTGCCGATTGGAAGGTTGGCGGTTCAAATCCCTGTGACGGGTTGAGCTCCCATTGCTCAGTCCCAGCTGCTGCCAATCTAGCCATTCAAAAGCACATCAAAGTGCAAGTAGATAAATAGGTACCACTCTGACGGGAAGGTAAATGGCATTTCCGTGTGCTGTTCTGGTTTTGCCAGAAGTGGCTTAGTCATGCTGACCAAATGAGCCAGAAAAACTGTCTGCAGACAAATATCGGCTCCCTCGGCAAGTAAAGCGAGATGAGCGCCGCAACCCCAGAGTCATTCATGACTGGACTTAACTGTCAGGGGTCCTTTACCTTTACCTTTAAAAGTTTTAATACAGTCATACCTCATGTTACGTTTGCTTCAGGTTGCGTGTTTTCAGGTTGCGTCCCGCGGTGACCTGGAAGTAATGGAACGGGTTACTTCCGGGTTTCGCTGCTCGCGCATGTGCAGACGTGCAAAATGACGTCACACGCATGCACAGAAATGGCGAATCGTGACCTGCGTGTGCGCAGACACGGGTTGCGTTCTTTTCAGGTTGTGAACGGGCCTCCGGAACAGATCCCGTTCGCAACAAGAGGTACCACTGTATATGTTGGAAGCTGCCCTGAGTGGCTAGGGCAACCCAGTAAGATGTGTGGGGTATAAATGTTAAAATTATCATTATGGAATGGGACATCCTTATTTTCATTGGAAAAATGTTGGAAGGTAATGTCTGATATTTTATCACTTTTTTATTACTATCATTAATTCTGTTGGGAGCCACCCAGAGTGGCTGGGGAAACCCAGCCAGATGGGCGGGGTATAAATAATAAATTATTATTATTACTCCTGGCATGGAGCCATATCTGTAAGAAAGACCCACAAAATCAGTCTCCACCCATACGTTTGGGTCATTTAAATGTTCTCCCCACCCCACAATGATGTTTCTGAATAGAAGTATGCCTAGTCAGTGTTTCAGCACTAAATTTGTAATTTTCATAATAGGCTTGTTTTCCCCCTCCATGTTACACAAAAGAGGAAAGCACAGTTATTGGGTACTTGAGTTTGGGGGCTGCCAAATACCTGGAGTAGGCAAGGCCTTCCTTAACCTCAGGGATTGCCACTTGTCTGGGAGCCACTGGTGGAGGAAGAGGAGTGCGGGGGGGAGCGCAACACCTCCGGCAGCATGATCCCAGTGGGGTGCCATTGCAGCTGCCCCCCTGCCCGCGCTGGGCACCACGCCCCCGTATGTGGTGTGCCACGCCCCAGGATGCGTGCCACTTCCCTGCGAGTGACACACCATGCCCCCAGAACCCACACCATGCCCCTGTGGGCAGCACGTCACACCCCCGGGATGTGCGCCAGCCCCGCCCCCACCTGCTCTCCGCCTCCCGGTACTGGAGCATGAAGCTCCGCCACTACCAGGAGCTTTAAAGTCAGGAGACGCACAGGATTGGCTCTCTGGAGTCACCTGATTCTGAGGACCCACTCAACTGGCTTATGTTTCATCCTCCAACCAGTGGTCCTAAAGCTGAGGAAACAGGATGTCCTCATTGCCTCATGAGTTTCTCCTTTCTTCTCCCTCTAGCATCCTCCTCCTCCCCTTTCAGCATAATCCAGACCTACTCAGTCAGGGCACTTTCATGCAACTCATACCTTTTTAAACAACCTCCGCACCTCAGAAACCCAGCCCACTAAACATTTTCTATTTCAAAACAGATTTCATCTTCCATAGAAAGTAATACTGCCTCCAGTCATGTGTAACTTATTTTTTATCCAACGGAGTATATGGGCTTATAACTAGATCCTGATAGGAACCCGGGTTTAAAACATTATTCACAGCAGGTTATTTGATCTTTATTTGCTGAACGCACTCAGCTGAATCCCTATCTCCAAACAATATGAGAAATAAAATGCCAGGCATGCTTCATTGGCCAGCTAGCTCATCTTGATTTGCAGAGACGATTACATCCCTCTCAGCAGTTTCACACACAGGCCACATTCCAGGAGCCAAGGTACTGCTCCTTATTCCTCTGCTCGCAAAGCCCTGCCCGGAGGCAAAAGGAACACAGTGGATCACAAATGGCAATGAATGATGCCTCTCAAAAGTGGGTGGGTGCTACCAGTATTGCCCCCCTCTGCCCCCCTTCCTTCCTTCAGCACCACCCACCCAGGGATCCTCCTACCTGCTTGACGCCACTATTCTGGAAGCTCCTTTTATCAGTCATGGTAGCTAAAAATGATAGCTAAAAATGGCCTCTTCGTATCTGAGTGGAAGTGTACTTCTGAATACCAGATGCTGAGGACATTTCCCTGGTGAAGTTGCTCTCATGCTGACTAGGGCCCCACCTGCAATATACATGTAAAGCATACTGTTTTAAACAATCACTTTCCTTAATATACAAACCCCAACCAGTGTGGTGTAGTGGTTAAGAGCGGTAGTCTCGTAATCTGGGGAACCGGGTTTGCGTCTCCGCTCCTCCACATTCAGCTGCTGGGTGACCTTGGGCTAGTCACACTTCCCTGAAGTCTCTCAGCCCCACTCACCTCACAGAGTGTTTGTTGTGGGGGAGGAAGGGAAAGAATGTTAGCCGCTTTGAGACTCCTTCGGGTAGTGATAAAGCGGGATATCAAATGCAAACTCTTCTTCTCTTCTTCTTCTGCAAAATCAAAACCCATTTATCAACCAATTGCAAAACATTATTTCCCTTTCTGCCATTTTCGTTTCTTCCTTCATGACCTTCTTTCCTTCACAAAACCCCAGTCCTCTTTTCCTCTTGCCCCACATCAGAGACACAAGATAAACATACAGCAAGCAAGCAGGCAAACAAATTCTGTGAAGCAGGGGTGGAAAAACTGTGGCCCTCCAGATGCTGTGGGACTACAACTCCCATCATCCCATATCATTCACCATGCCGGCTAACCACATCTGAAGGGCCACTGGTGGGATTCAATGGCATGTCAGCAAATTCAGGTTGTACACTTAAAGTGGATCTGGATCTCTTGAGCAGAAATGCACATACACACTTTTTACATTTTACAGCAAGGAAAGTGACAGGAAAATGCACCGGGAAAATGTAGGATAACACTTTCTTGACACAATGTTGTATAACCTCTACACAAACAGATCAGAATGAATGCTTAAAATCCAACCTGCATCACAGAACTTCCCCACAAACTGAGAGCCAGTGTGGTGTAGTGGTTAAGAGTGGTGGACTCGTAATCTGGTGAACTGGGTTTACTTCCCCGCTCTTCCACATGCAGCTACTGGGTAACCTTGGGCTAGTCACACTGAGAAGTCTCTCAGCCTCACTCACCTCACAGAGTGTTTGTTGTGGGGGAGGAAAGGAAAGGAGATTGTTAGTCACTTTGAGACTCCTTAAGGGGAGTGAAAGGCGGGATATCAAGTCCAAACTCCTCCTCCTCCTCCTCTTCTTCTTCTTCTTCTTCTTCTTCTTCTTCTTCTTCTTCTGCAAGCAGATCAGCTCAATAATCATGTTGTCTGGAAGTGACCTTAGCTTCCAAGTGCTATCTTGAAGGCAAAAAAGAAACAATGACATCACCATCACCACCATTCCATAAAAATAAATATCTATTGATTTTCTTTACTGGGGTTGTTGTTTTTTTACCTGTGGAATGGCAGTTTGGTGTGCTGTTAGTCTTATTGAAGGAGTCACATGTGTTCAGAATAATTTGTGTGTGTGGAGAGAGAGACAGGGGCTGTAGGGGAAGAAGGAAGTGCCTGTTTTGAGAAGCAGTAAGGGGAATTGCCCTAGGGAGGTATATTAGCTCCAACCATGGGGAATTTTTGACTTGACAGGTGTGGGTGTAGACCCTGAAATGGCATGCTCCTGAGAAATCTGTACGATCTGATTTTTCTGAGTCAGACGTAAGGGAAAGTCAAGTTGGACAAATTTGGTTGTCACACCATGACAAACCTTGGACAGATTTGGTTGTCACACCATGAGGTGTCTTGTGCTGGGAATTTAATTCTGCTGCTGATCTTTAATTTTTATTTTTTAAATTTTTTTTAAGGAAATCTGGTTTTGGCATTTTCATTTGATTTCCTCTCTTCTGACCCCAGGGGAACCTCTTTCCACAAAGTAATTGCAGGGTGATTTAACACAGGAATGTTCATCAACTGATGATTACAACGCAAGGTGAGATGACTGACAGATGTGAAACTGTATAACAGATCAAACACCACAGAGAGGGTTCAACTTCGTACCACAAGCCTGCAACCTGAACAGCCCTCTTCACATGTGCAGGGCATCTCTTGATTGAGCTCCTGATGCAGCGTCCATGGGGTTGCATTCTCTCACTCCTCTCCAACCTCTGTGCATTCAGCTGACAGTGCGGTGGAGGCCCTGCACCCTTAAAAAGAAATATTATTACAACTTTCTTTGTGTTTTATGCTGTTTCTAACAGCCGATGTTTTAAAATGTGTCTCTTATTGCTTAGGGTTTTTAAAAAGGCAAGGCTGTTCTGTTTCATTATTTTTATAAGTGGCCTTGAAGTAGGTATGACAATGCAGGGTTTAACTATTATAAATGTATCAATGCATATATGCACATGAGTTCCTTTCACACTGTCAGCTGAATACATGGAGATCAGGGACAGCAGGGCCACATATTCAAGGAGCAATGAGGACTAATATGTTTCAGTGGCAGATATTTGTGTGTTCAGTTGCACGACAGAAAGGGGTATACAGTGGTGCCTCGCAAGGCGAAATTAATTCGTTCCGCGAGTTTTTTCGTCTAGCGAATTTTTCATCTTGCGAAGCACGAAATCCCATAGGAATGCATTGAAATTCAATTAATGCGTTCCTATGGTCAAAAAAAGTCCAAACAAAGCCAAATTTGGTACAACAAGAGTTTATTAAGTGCTCTTTAAAGTCACACATACTGTAAAGAGCATTTCAAAAATTGAAGGAACAATAAATTAAGTTTCTAAACATGACAGGAAAAACATTTAAAAATCAACAAAGTGTAAATTACATTTTCTAAGACTCTGGGGGACCACTCGAAGAAGGTTCCTCTTCCACTCTTTGCTTCTTGCTTAAGAACCTGTCCATGGTCTGCTGCTTCATCCGCCTTTTCAGCACCTCCCTGAAAGGTGACATGACCGTTGTATCAAAAGTGTTCGCAAGGTCACGTGCCACGTGCTTGTTAGGGTGGTTCCGCTCTGCAAAAGCCTGCACATCCTTCCACTTCATGCAAATGTCCCTCAGTTCTTTGGAGGACAGCCGTTCCTCAGTTGCTTCCTCCTCTTCCAGCGAGGCCTGCTCCTGCGCAGCCTCTGCCTGCAGTTCGACCAGCTCCTGGGTGGTCAGCTCGTGGTCGTGCTCCTCCACCAGCTCGCTGACGTCCTCCTCTGTGACCTCCAGGCCCATGGTCCTCCCCAAGGCAACAATGTCCTGCACCACTGTTGACTCTGGTGCATCAGAGTCACTTGGTGCCACACAGTCCGGCCACAGGCTGCGCCAAGCGCAATTCAAATTTCTCTGGCTGATCCCGTTCCAGGCCGTGGTGATCATCTTCAAGCAGGTGACGATGTCGAAGTGGTCCTTCCAGAATTCCCGCAGGGTGATGGTGGTGCAATCAGTCACCTCGAAGCATCGCCTGAAAAGCTCCTTGGTGTAGAGTTTTTGAAATTGGCGATGACCTGCTGATCCATCGGCTGGAGCAGTGGCGTGGTGTTAGGCGGCAGGAACATGATGTTGATGAAGCTGAACTCCTCCAACAAGTCCTCCTCAAGGCCTTTAGGATGAGCAGGAGCATTGTCCATCAGAAGCAAAGCCTTCAGCGGCAGGTCGTTGTCCAGCAGGTACTGTTTGACAGCAGGGCCAAAAGCAAGATTGACCCAGTCCACAAACAGCACACGTGTGACCCAAGCCTTACTGTTGGATCGCCACATGACACTCAGCTGCTCCTTGTCGACCTTGTGTTTCTTGAAGGCCCGTGGGTTCTCCGAGTGGTACACCAGCAGGGGCTTGATCTTCAGGTCGCCGCTTGCATTGGCACAGAAGAGCAGGGTCAGACGGTCCTTCATGGGCTTGTGGCCAGGCAACTTGGCCTCCTCCTGAGTGATGAAAGTCCTTTTGGGCATCCTCTTCCAAAACAGCCCGGTCTCGTCGCAGTTGAAGACCTGCTGTGGACGTAGCCCTCCGTCTTCACAACCTCCAGGAACTCCAAGGCAAAGTCTTCAGCCGCAGGAACATCAGAACTGGCAGCCTCTCCATGCCTGACCACGCTGTGGATTCCAGATCTCGTCTTGAACCGGTCAAACCAGCCTCTGCTTGCCTTGAAGACTTCTGGCTCGCCTGAGGTTCCTGGCTGTTCCCGGATGAGGTCTGCGTGCAAGGCCTTGGCCTTCTCACAAATCACGGCCTCAGTCACTGTGTCCCCTGCACGCTGCTTCTCTTCTAACCAGATGAGGAGCAACTTCTCGACCTCCTCCAGAACAGCTGGGCGGTTCTTCACGATCCTGGTGACTCCCTTGGCTGCATCAGTCGCAAGGATCTTCTCCCTCATCTTCAGGATGGTGCCGATGGTCGATGGGTTCCTGCCGTACTCCCTGGCGAGGTCTGTCACACGCATTCCACCGTCGTGCTTCCGGATGATCTCCTTCTTCATTTCCAGCGTCACCTTCTCCTTCTTCCTCTCGCCGGCCTCTGCAGCAGCAGTCTTCTTGGGTCCCATGGCAGCACAGCTCCTAGCTTCGTAAACTCAGAAAAAGAAAAAAAAAATCAGTGATTCACACCCAAAAAATTCAAAAGCACCCAGCCACCCACCACACAGGAATTCAAACCCAGAACCAAGTCCTTGAATTCCAAGCACCCAACCCAAAATCCAAAAACCCCCCAAAAAGTTTTAAAAGTTTAACTTACGAAATGGCTGCAAATCACCAAAGTCTTCAAAATCCTCAAATGGCTGCAAAAGAAGTTTTGGAAAAGCTTTAAAAATCACCAAAGTCTTCAAAAACCTCAACTGTTCCCCCAGCCACCCACCCAGCACACAGAAATTGCAAACCCCTCCCCAACTGTTGCAAACCCCTCCCCAACTGTTGCAAACCCCTCCCCAACTGTTGCAAACCCCTCCCCAACTGTTCCCCCAGCCACCCACCACACAGAAATTCAAACTCAGAATTTTTTTTTGAAAAAAAACAACATGGCCCAATGGTCACAGAAAATCATAAAAATTCAAAAAAACCCACACAAGCTCCCAGATTCTTGCAAACCCCTCCTCAACTGTTCCCCCAGCCACCCACCACACAGAAATTCAAACCCAGATTTTTTTAAAAAAAAAACAGCAGAGTGGCCCAATGGTCACAAAAAATCATAAAAATGCAGAAAAAACCACACAAGCACCCAAATTATTGCAAACCTCTCCCCAACACCAAGTCCTTGAATTCCAAACACCCCCACCCAACCTCCAAAACCCCCCCACAAAGTTTTCAAAGTTTAACTTACCAAACGGCTGCAAAAGAAGTTTTGGAAAAGCTTCAAAAATCAGCAAAGTCCTCAAAAACCTCAGAAAAGGCTACCACACCGCGTGCAATGTGTTGCTCCTCGAAGTCAAGTAGCAACTGCACCTCTTCAAGCAATGCACACTGTATTACTGTAACGGTTTTAAGAAAAAGGAAACAAACTTGCAAGACGTTTTCGTCTTGCGAAGCAAGCCCATAGGGAAATTCGTCTTGCGAAGCAGCTCAAAAAAACAGAAAACCCTTTCGTCTAGCGAGTTTTCCGTCTTGCGAGGCATTCGTCTTGCGGGACACCACTGTATTATCAGATGATATACAGCCACCTGCTTTCCACGCAGAAGGTCCCAGCTACAAGGCTGTCTGAAATCACAGACAGCCGCTGCCAATCAGTGTAGACAATACTGGGCGAGATGGACAAATGGCCTGCCTCAGTATAAGGCAGTTTCTTGTGTTCCTGCATACGTGAAGTAGCCCTTTCTGGTGGGAATGTTGGCGGAGACAGGTGCTAGAAGAGTAAAGAAGGGGTAAATTGGTATAAAGTACCGCACAATTATTTTAAATAAAAAATTAAAATGTGGAGCAAACCAACCCTTTCCTGACAGATTTTAGCACTTCTCGTAGCCAAGTATAAAAAAGCCGAGGATTGCTGCCGAAGACAGCTAAAACGGACCTTCTTGGCCACATCCTTCGTGCTGGTTTTCCCACAATTCATTTCAGCACTCGATCATCCAATCCTTAGAAAACCTTACAGACAAGTAAACCTGGCATCGCTTACATCCGCAGTCTAAAACGCACACACTTGGAGGGAGGCTGTCATTCGTTTGTTTTGTTTGTACGCTGAAAAATCTCCGGCTGAAACTTTTATTTTCCTAGAAGCTTCCAGAATTCTCTTCAGGAGTTTACTTAGCCGTAGGCAGCTGTCAGTTATTTGTTTCTTGTTGGCGTCTAAGCCAGTGGACCCCCTGCTTAGTTGGTGACAGACCCCTCCTGGTTTGTGAAGCCTGTTTGGGAAGACAAGCTGTCATCTAAATTGTGTAGGAATGGGTGTAGGGAGGGGTGGAAGGAGAGGGGAGAAGATGGAGTAGATCACCTCACTTCTCAGAAGGCTGAGGTGTTGAGAGCGCAGTGCTGCCCAGGGAAATGCTGTCAATCAGGTTTAGGCTACACATGGCTTGCTTTTGTGGCGCGGCAAAAACTCAAAGGTCTAGGAACATATATGCATAATTAGGTGCCCAACACTTGCACAGCTAGCACCATGGTGTTTTATTTTATTAAAGAAGACTGAAAATGGAAATAAATAAAATGGTTACAGTTTGAAAACATTCAAGTGGCAGTAACAAGTATGGAGGAGACAAAAGGTGCTTCTAGACTGTCCCTTTTTGGGGTGGGATCCCATAATATACTGGCAAATTCAGGATGTGCCTATGAAGCTGATTTGGTGTTCTTGCATGACAAACCTGCTCCCCTCCCAAGACACCCTCCCATAATTTTGGCAATAAGGATAGTGAAATACACTGGAAGGTGTGGGATAGCAATCACTTAACAACAAGGTCTTCTAGCCTCCTCACAGTCAAATAAGAATGGATGCTCAGTTAATAGCAGTCATCCTCTAACCTTACCACAAATTTTGTGCAAACAAATCAGGATGAATAATTAATAAATAGCCATCATCCAAAAAAACCACACAAAAACCTTTGGGCAATCAATCAATCAGAATTCTCAAGAAACAGAGCATCTGGAAGGGACCAGACAGAAAAGGGCTGGGAAGCCAAGATCACGAGTAAAGAAATAGGCAGATTCCAGGTGCATATTGAAGTCTATTGCAGGAAAGATTAAAGAGGGGAGGGAGCCTTCAACAAATGCTAAGAAAATAAGCTCAGCACATTTGAGGTGTAAATGCTTCCTTCTTCAGGGTTAATCATACAAAACAAGTATATCATAAACAGTAATTCAGAGATCTTAAAGATATGCATTTTAACTTTGACAACTTAGATTTGCCTCACTCTCGACACTTTTCAGGATTCTCATTATGCATCCCCCCCCCTCGCTTTAGAAGTTGGTGAATAGGTTTGATTTCATAAATAAGTATTTTAACATTCTCTAGTAATATCCATATTGACTGTTTAGGGTGTTCTAGACATTCATAATCCAAGGTGTGAAAGTTAAATGAGGCAGCTCACAAGGTATTATATCACAAGGTATGTGTTGGTTTTATTTATTCTCACAATAATCTTTAAGATCTTTGTAGGGAAGATAAAATATTAATACTAATAATAACCAGGGCTGTTGTCAATCTGTCTGGGGAGAAAGTGCTTTTCCTAACCCCAAAATGAGGATCAGTTAGATCATGATTATGAGCAAAGCTTATTCACCATGACATACCAAGGGAGGAAGGAGTGGATCTTAGTGTATTGACAGTCTAGTAAAAGTTCAATATGTAACACTGACTGTTGCTGTCATCAAGCTTTTATTAATATTTCAACATAAAGTTTATTATGGGAACTGGAAAGTGTTTTGAAAATCTCTAACAAAACTGGCATGTACAGTCATACCTCGGGTTGAAGTTGCTTCAGGTTGAGTGCTTTCGGGTTGCGCTCCACAGTGACCCGGATGTAACGGAACACGTTACTTCCGGGTTTTGCTGCCTGCGCATGCGCAGACGGTCAAAATGACATCACACGCATGCGCGGAAGTGGCGAATTGCAACCTGTGCATGCGCAGACATGCGGATGTGGGTTGCGTCCGCTTCAGGATGCAGACAGGGCTCTGGAACGAATCCCGTTCATATCCAGAGGTACCACTGTAGTCATTATTTTCGGGTAACTGGTAAACCTGAACTAAACCATTTCAAATTGCAGGAAAGTAGATACAAATGAAGAGGGGCAGTGCAGCGCAGTCTTTAGCATATGTGCCACTGGGGTGCAAAGATCCGCCCAGCACCCCCAAATTTAGTTTAGCCCCCAAATTAACTTTCATTATGCTTATGTCAGACACCACACTTATGCTTTATCTCTTGTTTACGAAAGAAGGGAGGAAAAAGAAACAAACTTTTTTATTTGCTCATTTATTTACAATACACTTATACTTAAGTATACAGTACCACCACACTTAAACTTATAAGTATTGTTTAGGCACCTACTTAGGAGAAACATCCATTATGTCAAAGGTGCCACTGACCCCGCTGCCGCATAGCAATGCAGCTCAATACAACACGCAACCTAATATTTAGATGTAAGAGTTAATTTCGCTTGCATGGCGCCTTTGAGAATGACAAGCGCCGTCATTGAGTCAAGCACCGCCGCTGGCATGGCGTGCCTTTGGTAAATGAGCACACAAAGTCAAAAGTCCTTTAGTGAAACAGTAGGTATACATTTCTGTAATACCTAGGTATATATGTATTTTGTTTTTCTAGCTTGATCAAAATTATTTCTTATTTCATAACAGGTAGATAGTTAAGAGCTTAGGCGGATTCAGCGGCGGGCACCTGGCACCTCCCAGAATTTGGTACTTGGGTGCCCCACACCCCTTGCAACCCCGGATAAAGACCGCGCTGGGGCGCTGTCTGCCTTTTTATTATCCCCCCACCATGCTAGTTTTCCATTTGCATGGATGCATGCATACATATTTATATAGAAGAGCATTCAGACAAATGAACCCCCTGCCCCACCTCCGCAGGGTGAAGTGAAACACATTTGGCATTTCAGGTGGCCTAGCAGAGAACTGGACCCAGATCTTGTCTGTCAAACTAGACTGTGAGTTTCCTGAGCAGGGTGCTTGTCCTTTCTTCCTACTATGCAGCAAAAGCACATGAAAGTGTACTAGGAGTTGACATTCAATTCTGCCCACTGTTACGTTGCATTGAATGTACAACTAGCATTTCACAAGTTGATATTTGCTCCGTCTCCCTCCTTGCAGGCTATTCAAGATTGGCGAGTAATGGAAGCTTTTTGTTAGCACTGTTCTCATGCTAGAGCAAAATCCCTACCCCCAGTGGCAACTCCTGTTATACACACACAGACAAATGCACACACACACACACACACACACACACACACACATGTGTGGCCTTTGGAAAGGTGCCATAATGGGACTCAACACGTTGCCATTACGACCAGCAGCCATTCATTCTCTCTGCTGGGTACAGTCTGCACTGCCACCCAGAGAGAGAGAAAGAGGGAGGGACACAGAAAGAGAGAGAGAGAATGTGAGTGGTCTTTGGTCTTGTCACTGCTCAGCACTTCTGTGTTTTAAGAGAGCAAGTGAACAGGAAGTAACAACAAGGAGCAAGAAATCCAGAGGGCTTGGGGGGTGTCAAAAGTGGGGCGGCTTCTGGGGTGTTGCCCAGTGATGCCAAACCCTTGATGTTGGCCCTATCCACTCCAACCAAGGTGGGGTTATCCCTTCTCCTTGCTTCAGGAGAAGGTAGAGATGATAAATTTACGTCAGGGATGAGGAACCTTTGCTGTTCCAGTTGTTGGCTGGACAGCAGCTCCCATCATTCCTGACCATTGGGCCTGCTCGCTGGGGCAAGTGAGGGCTAGAGTTCAACAGTATTTGGAGGGCCACAGGTTCCCCTGATTCCCTTATTTTTAGGAAGGAGCACTGGAGAGGGCAACTGCGCAAGCCATCCAAAGAGTAGGGAAAAGGGAGTAAACTGTTTTCAAATGGGCAGGCATTCAAAATGGAGCAGGTTGGCAGAGGAGGAGATAGTGATGGGCTTGTTGCTTCACATGCCATCCAATAGCTGCCTGAATTACCTTTCTCACTATAAAGGATGAGGCGGAAGTCTCATTTATTTGGCGCCAGAGCTGATCATTTTCCGGCAACAATGACTAGCCTTCTGCTAGTATGAAGAAGAAGAGTTTGGATTGGATATCCCGCTTTATCACTATCCGAAGGAGTCTCAAAGAGGCTAACATTCTCCTTTCCCTTCCTCCCCCACAACAAACACTCTGTGAGGTGAGTGAGGCTGAGAGACTTCAAAGAAGTGTGACTGGCCCAAGGTCACCCAGCAGCTGCATGTGGAGTAGCGGAGACGCGAACCCGGTTCCCCAGATTACGAGTCTATTGCTCTTAACCACCACACCACACCGGCTCTCAAGCCAAATTATTCCCTCTGTAATGGAAACACTGCTTGATGGAGCATGTCAGATTGTGTAGTCTTCCAAGGATAACCACAACATATTGAAAACCATCTCTCTTCACTTGCTCTTACTCATATGTGAGCATGGGTGATGTAAGAGCAAGTGTTGGTACTCAGCACTAGGACCCTTCACACCTTCTGTCTACCAGGTTTGTTTACCTCGACAATGCCTATGTCGATTAAAAAGGAAATAAAAGCAAAGCAAAAGCACACCAGAAGCCTGAAACAGATTATTTCCCCAGCACAAACTCCATCGGTGTGCAGTAAGGAGAATGAGTGCAGTTCCAGTGACAGCGCTGATAAGGGTGTTAACAGGCGCATTAACTAGGAAAGGCCAGTCAAAACAGCGCATATAAAACCACACCCAGGCTGCCCTTTAAATGTGCTGTGACATGGAGTGGAAGATTTGAAAGCATATTTCTGGGTAATTAATTCAAGGAGTGATTCTAATGGCTAACGCTGTCATTTGTGACTGTGAGGTCTGGGGCTGGAGCAATCAGTGAAGGGGAAAGGAAAGTGCTTGGAGGTCAGAAGTGGATGTTAAAATATTTTGACAACCCACATCCAAAAGGCTGGCTTAATGAAATGCGTTGGCCAGCAACTTCCAAGAGGGCTGAAATAGAATCTATTCATTTCTCTCCAGTATGCCACTCAGTAGCTATTGGCTTGAACGCTGGACTGGCCATTAATCACCATGGCCCATCTGTTGAATGAAGCCATCCATCAAACTCAATGGCCAGCAATCTACATTCTGCGTCCCAGCCAACCAGCATTAGGAGGGAGCTGGCCTCACTTTAAAACAATACCAAAAAAGGTCATAGAGTGGGCACATGGGAGTGGACCTCAACATCAACTCTACCTCCCTTTCCCACTCAAAGCCAGAAGGCCCAGAGGAGAATACCCCTTACCCAAACCTTTGACGTTGCAATTACACCTCCTGGGCACTTTCTGATGGAGAATTTACACAGAAATAGACATTCAACAGAATGTCTTCTCACCAGCACAGTAGTAAATAACATCTCCCAATTTCAGCCACTTACCATTTACCAAAAAAAGCTTCTATGGTGGGATATGAAATATCTGGGATTTTACATGTGGGGTACAAAAAGACTGTCCCAGTCAAAGTAACATATTGAGTTGTTGTTGTTGTTTTAACCTAACCAATAAAAACTGCCCCAACACCACAAGTCCTGCAAGAATGAAGTTTTGGTAGGCATGGGAAAAGAAGGGGTGCTCATACAGATTGTCCAAAAGGTTCCTTGGCCAAAGGTATCCCCATATTCTTAGTAACTGATTCTCCCACACGCCAATTAGGACACTTTCCCCCCTTCCCCTAGCCAATGTTAATGCACTAGAGTAAAACATGCCCCATCACATTTTCCAAACAAAAACTGATCCAGGGAATTAGACATCTTCTAACACCATATCTTCTATTTGGTTTAGGGCCATTTTAGTACCCAAGAAACATTGGAATTTTGTTTGGGTTAGAAAAGCACCCCTAAAAAAAATTATTAATGGCTCCAGGTTACTGGTAGCTGCTAAAAACCTAGGGCTAAGCAGATCGGCAGGTCTTTGTGAAACCACCAAGATGTTATGGCAACAAAGGCACACAGTTTAAATCTTAACATCTGCAGTATATATAGAGGATCAGATCTCAGAATAATTTCTTCCTTTGGATTCTCTCCCCCCCCACTCACTCACTTTTGTTAGGAACATCAATGCTGTTACACACTGTAATCACAAGCAGTTTCTAAATTGTTATTAAAGATGTACTGTATTACAGTGGTACCTCAGGTTAAGAACTTAATTCGTTCCGGAGGTCCGTTCTTAACCTGAAACTGTTCTTAACCTGAAGCACCATTTTAGCTAATGGGGCCTCCCGCTGCCGCCGCGCCGCCAGAGCATGATTTCTGTTCTCATCCTGAAGCAAAGTTCTTAACCCGAGGTACTATTTCTGGGTTAGCGGAGTCTGTAACCTGAAGCGTCTGTAACCCGAGGTACATACTTACCGAGTCCATGCGATAGTGAACTTGAAATGGAGTTGGGCAGGGTATGGATTGCATGCAAGTTTGACGGCTTCTGAATCCATTGTGTCATTTGCCGAGATCTATAGTATAGTAGATGAAAGTTTCCAAAACACAGCGCACTGATAAATAGGGCAGAACACTCTTCATTTCCTGTTTCGAAGTCTTTGAATACTATTGTGGGGAAACAAAGAACTGTTGCTGTAGTCTGTCTCATTTCACCTGAGTGATGGATGGCTTGATTTCACCCACAGAGGGGGAAAGTGATCCATGCACATGTGTAATTATCAGGAAGAGACGACATGACCAGCACTGTCACTATATGTAAATGATCCGTAGATAGAGTCAAGTAACTCAGAAGTTTCAAAAATCTAAAAAGGTGATGCACACTTTTGGAAATATATACCTTAAAACCATGCTTGACAACTTAATGTCTCTAGCGTTAAGTGTCCCCTGAGATATCCTATCTATATATATCTATATATCTATAGAGATAGAGATAGATATCACATGAAAATGTGCATTACACTGCAGGTGCTATTGCAAGCCTAATTAGCATCCAGCCCAAGATAGGATAATAAGGTGGCTTGGGAGTCCCTAGACTTTCTAAATGAATTGAAGTTTTCATTGCCTGACAAACTGCCTCCTACGGTACTAAAGGAACTTGAAGATGTGATCCCAGAGCCTCTGCCTGAATTTTTGCAAGCTCTCGGAGAATGGGGGAAGGGCTATCAGACTGGAAGCAGGCAAATGTTGCCTGCTTCTAGGACTAGGCAACCACTGACAGGTCAGCCTAACATTGGTAGTAGTAGTAGTAGTAGTAGTAGTAATAATAATAATAATAATAATAATAATAATTTATTATTTATACCCCATCTATCTGGCTGGCACATTGAAAGGTTCTAGAACACAGGTTGCCAAACTGTGCTCCATGGTTGATGAGCCTCCTTCAGGGCTCCTTTAATGGGGGTCCATGGCATGCTCCCCATTAAATATTCCTATTGATTTTTTAAATTGTTATTGCTTCTTTTATTGCTTCACGTGGTATTCTACTGTATGACAGTTTGAATTTGCAGACTCGAGGCAGCTCAGAAAGCCGACTCTGCCCAAACAAACTTGACAATTGCACGGCCTTATTTATTTATTTATTTCGCGAGAAGGCAAAATATACATAAAAACAATCTGTCTCCGCAAACACATTTTCCCGTCAGCTGTTCTCCAGCAAAGCCAAAGAGATGAATGTGTGGAATATACATGTACAATTAAGCCTTTGCTCGCCCAGTCTAACATATCCCTCCTGGAACGTGCCGTGTGTGTGTGTGTGGAATCAATAAGGAATATTCCCTGGTCAGCAGCGGTCGTCAATCCCCTTTTTGCAATCCGTAAATATAATCTCGCCTTCCTCCGCCCCCGACCTCTGCCGCCACCCCCACCCCAGCCCCAGCCAAAGGACAGAGTCGACAGATGCGTCCCTTTTAGTCCCTTCAGAGCGTTTGACAACCCCCCCCTCCTCATGTGATAATAATGGAGCTGACTGTACTGTCAGGGGTGTGCCAGAGCTTTATGCCTGGCTGACCCAGAGTGCTGGGCTGCTCTCCCTTCATGCTCGGCTGCCTTTCAACTCCGTGCAGAGGTTGCCTCAAGCAGCTCTCTTGCCAGCCCCCTTGATATTTTGGACACAGAGTTCTGAATGAGCAATAAGTCGGCAGCCTCTGTGGGTAGAACTGTTCTACCCCCCCCTTCTTCTTTCTTTTTTCTTGGGCTAACAAAAATACGGAGGAATGAGTGGATAAGTGGGACCACGGAAGGTGTCAATGGAAGGGCAGGTGTGCGCAATTATAGAACTGTAGGGACCACAATAGTCATCCAGGCTTTGTTGTTGTTTAGTCGTTTAGTCGTGTCCGACTCTTTGTGACCCCATGGACCAGAGCACGCCAGGCACTCCTGTCTTCCACTGCCTCCCGCAGCTTGGTCAAACTCATGCTGGTAGCTTCGAGAACATTATCCAACCATCTCGTCCTCTGTCGTCCCCTTCTCCTTTTGCCCTCCATCTTTCCCAACATCAGGGGCTTTTCCAGGGAGTCTTCTCTTCTCATGAGGTGGCCAAAGTATTGGAGCCTCAGCTTCACAATCTGTCCTTCCAGTGAGCAGTCAGGGCTGATTTCCTTAAGAATGGATCGGTTTGATCTTCTTGCAGTCCATGGGACTCTCAAGAGTCTCCTCCAACACCATAATTCAAAAGCATCAATTTTTCGGAGATCAGCCTTCTTTGTGGTCCAGCTCTCACTTCCATACATCACTACTGGGAAAACCATAGCTTTTACTATACGGACCTATCCCCCTGCAATGCAGGAATCAGGGGGGGGGAGAGACTCGAACCCACAACCCTGAGATTAAGAGTCTCAACTGAGCTATCCCTGTAGGAGGCACATGGATGGTTAGGATTCATGAAAGCTGGACTTGCCCAGCTCTGTTTTGCTTCTTTTGCAGAGAGATCCTCTCAGAGCACTTCTCTGTTATTGCACATGACACTTGCCCTCCTATGGAAACAAAATGCAAAGAGGAAGCTGCCTTATACCAAATCAGGCCACTGGTCCATCTAGCCCAGTGTAGACAACTACACTGACTGGCAGTGGCTCTTCATGGGTTCAAATGTGGGTTCTCTCCTATCTCTACCCAGAGATGCCGAGGGTTGAAACTACAAGCTTCTGCATGCGAAGCAGATAACCTGCCACTGAGCTACCCTGCTGGTAGGCACTCAGACAGTGGTTCATTTCAGGGCCAATCCCCAGAAAACATGCAAAGTTTCCACTGGACTGTCTAACCATCAGCTTCGGCCGATGGCCCAGCTACGGCCCTATCTGGACAGGGATAGCCTAACTACTGTTGTCTATGCCTTGGTAACCTCACGGTTAGATTACTGCAATGCGTTATATGTAGGGCTGCCTCTGGAGACGGCTCAGAAACTTGAGCTAGTGCAGAATTCAGCGCCAGGTTGTTCAACGGAGCAAGACAGTTTGAGCATATTACACCGATCCTGGTCCGACTGCACTGGCTACCAGTTAGTTTCCGGGCTCAGGACTGCAATACCTCAAGGACCGCCACTTTCCATATGAACCTACCTGGACCCTGAGGTCATCTTCTGAGGCCCTTCTTTGTGTGCCTTCTCCTCGAGAGGTCTGGAGGGTGGCAACAGACCTTCTTTGCAGTGGCTCCCCATCTGGGGAATACTCTCTCCAGGGAAGTTTGCCTGGCACCTTCATTATACACCGTTAGGTGCCAGGCAAAAATGTTCCTTTTTAACCAGGCCTTTGGTTGATCTGATTGACATCCTATGCCCTTTTAAAATGTGGCTCTTTTGGGGGGGATGTTATTGAGTTGTTTTTATTTTGATTATATATATTGTGGTTTTTACGTTGATCTTTTCTGTGAACTGCCCTGAGACTTCTGGGTATAGGGTGCAATATAAATTCAATAAATAATAATAATAGTAGTAAATATTAACCCAGCAAGGTAAAGCAACACTTTGGAGTGGCAGCAGATCTCCAGAGCAGGCGGTTCAACACAGTTATCATGGATCCATTTAACCACAGTTGCCACAGCAAATAGGATGACTACCCCAATTCCTACATCCAAGTCATTTATAAAGACTTTGAACAACAATGGGCCCAGGCAAGAACCCTGCAGTACCCAATTTCTCATTATTTTCCCGGGTAATGAAGAACCACTAATGAGCACTCTTTGGGTGTGATCAGTCAACCACCTACAAATCCACCTAACAAGTAACTCGTCCGGCACACATTTTATCAGCTTCTCTGTAAAGAAGATTGTGGGGAACTTTGTCAAAGCCTTATTGAAATCAAGATACACTATGTCCCCAACTTTCCCCTGATCCACCCAGCTTGTAACTCTTTCAAATACAGAAATGAGATCCGTCTGGCATGACTTGTTTTTGAGAAACCCATACTTGGTCTTGGTAATCACAGCATTCTTTTCTTTGGTGCTCGCAGACTGACTGTTTAATTATCTGTTCTAGGATTTTTGTTTCTTATCGGTGTCAAGCTCACTGGTAGGTAGTTACCCAGGTCTTCTCTCTCCCCCCCCCCTTTTGAAGATGGGGACAACATTTGCCCACCTCCAGTCTACAGGGAACTCACCTGTCCTCAAAAATTCTCAAAGATTATAGACAGAGGCTCTGAGATTACATCTGCAAGCTCCTCCAGTACCCTTGGGTACAGTCTGCTGTGTGCTTGCTTTGTTTAGTGGGGGGTAAAAAACACCTTTGGGTGAGGGTAAGTCTAAGGAGAGAATCATCAGGGGAGTTCTGTAACCTTTACCTCTTTGGCTATTTTTTCTGCTCCATATTTTTTCTACATATGTGGGCTTTCCCATAACAGGAAAAACAGCTGGGCGGGGATTGGAGTGGGGGGAATAGTGGCAGGGAAAGGCTCCTTTCCCTCAGTGCTCCTCTGCGCAAATTCACCCCTCCCAATGCTGATTTTCATCTTTAAAAACTTCCAGCCCCTGCAAATGCTTGTGTACTATACAGTTTGCCCTCTAGAAGATGCTATTAGGTCTCTCCAAAATGTACACAGCTTAATAAAAGCTGTGCTGAAATTTCCATGGACTTTTTTCCTATGATGGAAAAGACAAGATATTAGTTATCGGATTTCTAGCCAGATTGAATCTCTGGAGAAGACAGATCAAATGCATTTTCTATCACCTGAATATAAATACTTTAAAAAGTGATGGTTCCCCCCCCCCTTTACTAGATGTTAGAGATCTGGAAGGGGCAGGGAAGGTCTGAAAGTTGTAGCTGTGAACATTGGGCTGACCTCCTCTCTTTGCTGCAGGCTCTGCTTCCTGCCTCAGAGCACGATCTATTAACATTGCAGCTCCAGTAGCAGCAGATGGGTGGTTGGAACCAGCCCCAGAGCTCTTGTAGCTATCCCCAAAGCTTTCACAGCAAGGGTGGGGAACCTTTCTCAGCCTGAGGGCTGACTGCAGATCCACTGACAAGAAGTATTATTTTGAGGAAATATGGATACCAGCATCCTTGTGCTCTGCCAGCCCACCTGTCCTTCCTTCTTTGGTTTACACATCATTAAAAAGACCCCTGCAAAGCCATGTCAGATTTGGACCATTCTTCCTATTCGCTTGCCACTCAGGTATGCAATTTGTGCTTCCAATACGACTTTCAAAAACTGCTAGGCTTCTGGAATCCCTTGTTCATAAAGCTGCTTCTTCTTTTTCATTCTTTCAACGCAGGACTTACTCAGTTTGCCACAATCCACTTGTCAGAAAAAGAAAAAAAATTGAATGTCTCTACTTGGCTGCACTTTCACTTTTCTTTTCATAAAGGTCTCGAATTCTATCATTTAATCTTCCCCATCTCCCAAGGCACCTGAGCACTTCCACCGTTCTTCTTTGTTGGTCAGGAGAACCAAGCCTGAACCAACGAGCTCTCACTGTTTCTTCAGCCTTCTCAAACAAGAGAGTTTTTCCCACCTGTGCCTGGAGCTTTTCCCCCTCTCCCTCCCATCTCTACCTCTTGAACAGCATATTATATCTATATATTTTCCACCTTACAACAAAAATTAGGGCAGGTGACATCTCCCTTTATTACCATTTTGGGATCTTTTGATGCTTTTGCTATCTTCACAGGGAAAGCTTTTTCTACTTCCTCCGATTGCTCTATAGAAGACTCCTACAGTGATATGTTTTTATTTATTTCTCCCTTCAAATCAGGTAAATCGCCAGAATTTGCCATCGGTCTTATTGATTTGAGATGCTAAATCAATCCTCCAGTGTTCCAAATCAAACAAGAGATCCCAGAAGGTGGGGCTGCTGCAAGAAGATACTTGGGCAATGAGCCTTCCTAGTCCTTCTGAAGCTGCCTGCCAGATCTACCACAATATTTCCATTCAAAATCTGGCCTTATTCCAGTTGCCAAAATCATATAAGACTGGTCCTGAAAGACCTACATTGGATCCCAGTACGTTTCCGAGCACAATTCAAAGTGTTACTGCTGACCTTTAAAGCCCTACATGGCCTCGGCCCAGTATACCTGAAGGAGCGTCTCCACCCCCATAGTTCAGCCTGGACACTGAGGTCCAGCGCCAAGGGCCTTCTGGCAGTTCCCTCATTGCAAGAAGTGAAGTTACAGGGAACCCAGCAGAGGGCCTTCTCGGTAGTGGCACCCTCCCTGTGGAATGCCCTCCTATCAGATGTCAAAGAAATAAACAACTACCTGACTTTTAGAAGACATCTGAAGGCAGCCCTGTTTAAGGAAGTTTTTAATATTTGATGTTTTATCGTGTTTTTAATATTCTGTTGGAAGCCACCTAGAGTGACTGTGGAGGCCCGGCCAGATGGGTTGGGTGTAAGTAATAAATGACGATGATGATGATGATGATGCATCCAATCTCAGGCTAATAGGCACCCTTAGGTAAAGGTAAAGGGACCCCTGACCATTAGGTCCAGTTGTGGACAACTCTGGGGTTGCGGTGCTCATCTCACTTTATTGGCTGAGGGAGCCGGCATACAGCTTCCGAGTCATGTGGCCAGCATGACTAAGCCGCTTCTGGTGAACCAGAGCAGTGCACAGAAATGCTGTTTACCTTCCCGCCAGAGGAAGCACTTTGATGTGCTTTTGAACTGCTAGGTTGGCAAGAGCAGGGACTGAGCAATGGGAGCTCATCCCATCACAGGGATTCGAACTGCCGACCTTCTGATTGGCAAGCCCTAGGCTCTGTGGTTTAACCCACAGTGCCACCCGCATCCCAATAGGCACCCTTAAGGAACATCAACTCATGATTTAAAAAGCTGGCTTTGGATAGGACTTCTCTAACAGAGGTGTACCAGAACTAGGCATTTCTATGTAAATGCCTGAGTCCTCTATGGTTCTGTGATAAGCAAAGGTGCTGTACTGAGTCAGACTATCAGTCCACTTAGCTCAGTTAGGGTTGCCATATGTCCGGAATACTGCAGTCAGAAACAGCATCTGGAGGAAATCATGGAAATGTCTGGGGAAATCTGGACATATGGCAACCAATGTCAGAAGTAAGGATTTTGGCGAATTTCCTTAAAAATAGCTCCAAAACTTCATTTTATTTTTTTTTAAAAAGAGGAACAATTTTGGGCAAAACTGAAAAAAGCTCTCCAGACTTCAGCCTAGGACCTTCTGCATGTAAGACAGATGCTCTATCAGCTCTTCCTTTACATAGTGGTACAGGTAGAAGTCCACCTGCCTGCAATGGTTGCTTCTCCTCCATAACCCATCAGTTTCCATGTAAGTATATATAGAGAGATAGGAGCCCCTCAAACCTGTTCTGGCAACCAACCAGTATAAAAACAAAGACAAGGGAGCAGATTCATTGTGAGAACATCCAGGGAGTTATTTTAAAAATACTGCACCAGCTCCTTCTTTCCCCCCAAAAGCTGAACTGGCTGAAAACATACATGCATAGAGATGGGAAAAGACATTAAATCTGCTGTAAGAATAAAAAGAATTCTCCATGGTGGAAAAAAGGACCATTTACATTTTGGTTGGCTTTTCTAATAATAACGTTTCAATGGAAGGTATATTCCTGGCATTGTTTGCACATTTCTGTTCCTGCTTGTATTTTTCTCAGGCTATCTGAAATTTAAGGAGTGGAGAGAAAGGAAAGCGAGGGGAAGAAATAAATAAAATAAAGAACCATATTCTGCCTATCCGAAAGAAATGCAACGCAATCTGATTTCACCTCTTTCTCTCTGGGCTGAATGTGTTCATTTTTTGCTTACAAAGGAAAGACACAAAAGAACGGCAAGAAAAGGATTCAGATGGTGCTGCCTGATACACTTTTGCAGGGAAAATGTGAAAACAAAACCCGGCTGCTGTTGACAGTCTTTCGGTCTGAAAAGTAACTTATTCATTTGAAAATAAGAGGGGGGGGGGATAAAAAATATGCTCATAAGAAAAAATATGAAACATCGTTTGTTGTAATTTCACAAAGCAGAACGAGAGCTGCTGAAGAACCTCAAAACCAGACAGTGCTGAAAAGCTACAGAAAGGGCCGTTCTTGTCAGTGGCAGAGGAAGGGGGTGCGATAGGGGCAGCCCGCCCCGGGTGTCACCACTGAGGGGGGTGACAAAATGCCAGGCGGCACTCACCTGCAGCACGCCGGAGCCACACGTCTCTCCTGGGAGACACGCGGCTGCCCAAATGGTCTGCCCACTGCCTCCCCCTCAGCTGTAGGGTGGCTGGGTGGGAGGAGGCAGGCAGACACCTCGGAGACCGCGCGGAGCATCCTGTCTTGGCTCGCCCTGCCCCAGACGCCCAATTGGCTTACTCCGCCACTGACTCTTATAGAGCTGGGGCCAGCACACAGCTTCATTGAGCCATAGTAGGGCCCATCTGCCTTTGGCTAGGGTAGAGATGGAGAAACTGTCGCCCTCCAGAGGGTGCTGGGCTCTGCTGTCACCATCCCTGGCCATTGGTCATGCTGGCTGGGGCTGATGCTAATTGATGTGCAACATCTCCAGGTCTTGAGTTCAGACCCTCACCGATGTGCCCCGCCTCAAATTTGCTTCACAGCAGTGGTGGGCCCTTGACAAGCCATTCTGACAATCTCAGAGTGGCCCATGCTATACTGGAGCATTGTGGGAATGTCAAAGCAAGGGGCAGCTTGTGGGAGCCTCCTGCAGATTGTGGTAATGCTGCTGCCATTTGTTGCTGCGGATAAGCCCACTGGAGGATATACTTTGCTGTGAGCTGCCTCAAGCTTGTCACCAGCCTTAGGTTTTAGACAACATCTTGTTGCAGCCTAGTTTGATACATGCTTACTTTGAAGTAGGGATGGGCTAGGGCTAGAGGTTAGGGGTTAGGGGAATAGAGGAGGCCTTTCAGAAGCCATATAATGCTGAGGTATCCCCATCGGTCTCTACAACCCAATATTGCATACACTGACGGACAGGAGCTCTCCAAGGTTGTAGGCAAGGGACATTCACAGCACAACCTGAAGATACTGAGGAGTGAACCTGGGAGCTTTCGTTTACAAGGCAGATGTTCTGTCCCTGAGCCATAGCCACATATGTTCAGTGTTAAGTCTCATAGAATCATAGAATCATAGAATCATAGAGTTGGAAGAGACCACAAGGGCCATCGAGTCCAACCCCCTGCCAAGCAGGAAACACCATCAGAGCACTCCTGACATATGGTTGTCAAGCCTCTGCTTAAAGAACTCCAAAGAAGGAGACTCCACCACACTCCTTGGCAGCAAATTCCACTGTCGAACAGCTCTTACTGTCAGGAAGTTCTTCCTAATGTTTAGGTGGAATCTTCTTTCTTGTAGTTTGGATCCATTGCTCCGTGTCCGCTTCTCTGGAGCAGCAGAAAACAACCTTTCTCCCTCCTCTATGTGACATCCTTTTATATATTTGAACATGGCTATCATATCACCCCTTAACCTCCTCTTCTCCAGGCTAAACATGCCCAGCTCTCTTAGCCGTTCCTCATAAGGCATCGTTTCCAGGCCTTTGACCATTTTGGTTGCCCTCCTCTGGACACGTTCCAGTTTGTCAATGTCCTTCTTGAACTGTGGTGCCCAGAACTGGACACAGTACTCCAGGTGAGGTCTGACCAGAGCAGAATACAGTGGCACTATTACTTCCCTTGATCTAGATGCTATACTCCTATTGATGCAGCCCAGAATTGCATTGGCTTTTTTATTTTATTTTTTTGAAAGCAATTTATTGGGTTTTACAATAAGAATAAACATAATAAACAAAATAACACTTGTCTTAACATAGTTTCACATTTTCTTTGGACTTCCTCACATCTCCCGCTCCCACTTTCATCGTTATAACATTTTGTCAGCAATTTATCATCTTATTTGAATTCTTATATCCCTTCAATATTTCATAGTCTTATAATTCTCAAAAAGAGTTAAACTTTCACAGTCTTACTTGTTTTCTTAAAAACTTCTAAGTTAAGTGGTGCTCAGTTATTTTAATCTAGCATCTTATTTAGCATTCACTCAAATCACAATATTTTTGTAGATAGTTCTTAAATTTCTTCCAATCCTCCTCCATCCTCTCTTCTCCCAGGTCACGAATTCTGCCGGTCATTTCAGCCAGTTCCATGTAGTCTATCAGTTGCATCTGCCATTCTTCCAGTGTGGGTAGATCTTGAGTTTTCCAATGTTTTGCGAGAAGTATCCTTGCTGCTGTTGTTGCATACATAAAAAATGTCTGGTCCTTCTTTGCCACCCCTTGGCCGACAATACCCAAAAGGAAAGCCTCTGGTTTCTTAGTGAAGGTATATTTAAATACCTTTTTCAATTCATTATAAATCATTTCCCAGAACGCCTTCACTTTAGGGCAAGTCCACCAGAGGTGGAAGAACGTTCCCTCACACTCTTTACATTTCCAACACTTATTATCAGACAGGTGGTAAATTTTTGCAAGTTTGACTGGGGTCATATACCATCTATAAATCATTTTCATTACATTTTCTTTCAAAGCGTTACATGCAGTGAATTTCAATCCATTACTCCACAACCTTACCCAGTCCTCAAACATAATATTATACCCAATGTCCTGTGCCCACCTTATCATAGCCGATTTAACCGTTTCATCTTGTGTATTCCATTCCAACAGCAAGTTATACATCCTTGAAAGTACCTTAATCTTTGGTTCTAACAATTCTGTTTCTAGTTTCGATTTCTCCACCTGGAACCCTAATTTCTTATCATTTTTAAAAACTTCTTTAATCTGAGCGTAGTGTAACCAATCTCGCACTTTGTCTTTCATTTTCTCCAAACTCTGCAATTTCCAATTGTCTCCATCCTTTTCTAGTATTTCCCAATATTTTGGCCATCTAGCCTCCATATTGGGTCTTTTTCGGGCCTTAGCTTCCAGAGGTGAAAGCCACCTTGGTGTTTTATTTTCCAGCAAGTCTTTATATTTTATCCAGACATTAAACAATGATTTTCTGACAATATGGTTCTTAAAGGCCTTATTTGCTTTAACCTTGTCATACCATAAATATGCATGCCATCCAAAGGCATTGTTAAACCCTTCCAGATCCAACACATCAGTGTCCTCAAGAAGTAGCCAGTCTTTTAGCCAGCAGAACGCTGCGGCTTCATAATACAACTTTAAGTCTGGCAGGGCAAAGCCCCCTCTTTGTTTTGCATCAGTTAATATCTTAAACTTAATTCTGGGCTTTTTGCCCTGCCAGACAAACTTAGAAATGTCTCTCTGCCACTTCTGAAAGCACTCCGTTTTGTCCAAAACCTGAAGTGTTTGAAATAAAAACAACATCCTTGGCAATACATTCATCTTAATAGCAGCAATTCGGCCTAACAAAGAAAGTTTCAGTTTTGACCAACTATCTAAGTCTCTCTTAATTTCTGACCAGCATTTTTCATAGTTATCCTTAAATAGACTTAGATTTTTTACTGTTATGTTTACCCCTAGGTATTTTACTTTTAACCACATTAAGTTCCGTCTCATTCTGAAACCGTTCTGACTCTGTATCTGTCAAATTTTTCCCCAAAACCTTAGTTTTCTGTTTATTTAATTTAAATCCAGCCACCCGACCAAAGTCATTTATCAGTTGTAATACTCTTTTCGTACTGGGCTCTGGCTTCTGCAGGGTCAAAACCAGGTCATCTGCAAAAGCTTTTAATTTATATTGTTTCTGACCGACCTGAATTCCTTCCACCAACCGATCCCCTCTAATCATGTTCAATAGCACTTCCAGAACCGAGATAAATAACAAAGGGGAATAGGGCAACCTTGTCGTGTCCCTTTTTCAATTTTGAACTCTTCTGTAACCACATTATTAACTATCAATTTAGCTTTCTGTTCTGAATATATCGCCTCAATCCCATTCTCAAAACCCCGTCCCACTCCCATCTCTTTTAAATTTCCCTTCATAAATTTCCAGGAGATATTGTCAAAGGCCTTCTCCGCATCTATAAAAATTAAAACTGCTTTTGTATTTATATCTGTTTGCAAAAGTTCCAAAATGTCAATGATGTTCCTTGTATTAGCAAACAGATGTCTACCTGGGAGAAAGCCGGCCTGGTCCTTATGGATTACTTCATTTAAAACTTTTTTAAATCTACTTGCCAAAATGTCTGCAAATATTTTGTAATCCACATTTAAAAGGGAGATGGGACGGTAGTTCTTAAGTTGTGTCTTTTCAGCTTCCGACTTTGGTATTAATGTGATGAACGCTTCCTTCCACGACTCCGGTGCCCTCTTCCCCTCCATAATTTCATTGCTGACCTCCATCAAAGGTTGTATCAAATAGTCTTTTAATGTCTTATAGTACTTGGAGGTCAGCCCATCTGGCCCTGGAGATTTGCCGAGTTGCATGTTCTGGATGGCTTGTTCAATCTCCTGTCGTGTTATTTTAGAATTCAGGATTGTCCTATTTTCTTGTGACAGTTTAGATAGTCCATTTTTGGCAAAAATTGTTTAATCTCAACTTCGTCTTGCGGCCCTTGAGTGTATAGTTTTTAAAATATCTCTGGAAACACTTTCTAATATCCACTGGATTCTGAATGTTTTTCCATCGACTTCTAAATTTGTAACCGTATTTAATCTTTGTCTTCTCTTCAACTGCCAAGCTAGCAATTTTCCACATTTATTCGCCGACTCAAACGTTTTTGTTTCATTAATTTAACCTTCCATTCAATTTCCTGATTTATCAATTTAGAATATTGTGTCTGATAAAGTTTAATTTCTCTCAGAGTTGGCTGTGACTTCGGATTCACTCTTAATTTCTTCTCTAATTCTTTTATTTTATCCAAGATCTTATCTTTTTTCTCATTTTGTGTTCTTTTCTTTACTGCATTCTGTTGTATCAAGAATCCCCTCATTACAGCTTTGCTTGCATCCCAGACGATTCTTTTTTCCACCGTAGTATTCATATTTATCTCAAAATAGTCCTTCAAAGCTTTTGGGCCTTCTTGGTAATTTCCTGATCTCTAAACAAATTGTCATTCATCTTCCATCTAAAGGATCCAGTTGGTAGTAGTGTCATATCCATCTTTACTGCATTATGGTCGGAACAGGTCTTTGGGCAGATTTCCACTTTTCTGACCTTAGGTGCCAGGCCTCTAGAAGTCCATATTTGGTCGATTCTTGTCCAGGTCAGTTGGGCTTCAGAAAAAAATGTTCCTTCTCTTCCTAGTGGGTTCTTTGTCCTCCAAATGTCAATCAGGTCCATATTGTCAGTCATTTCAAAAAAGGTTTTAGGTAGTCTGCCGTCTTTTGTAACATTTTGACTTTGTGACTTGTCCATGTTAGTTGATACGACCCCATTCATATCTCCCATCATTATGATGTTGTTGTAATCCAGATAGTCCAGCATTGTCTCCTGCAGCTTCTTGTAAAATTCCGATTTCCCTTCATTAGGTGCATAAATTCCTAATATCAACAGTTTCTCTCCTTGATATTGTATCTCAATAGCCAAAATTCTTCCATGTTCATCTTTGAATAAAAATTTAGGTGACAGGCTCTCTTTTGCATATATCACCACGCCTCTCTTCTTGACTTTGTCCGACGATACAAATTCCTGGCCCAATCTTTTATTTATTAACACTTTTCTGTGGAGCCTCGTCACATGTGTTTCTTGTAGACAAATAATGTCCAATTGTTCTTTTTTAATATGTGAAATATTTTCTTCCTTTTTTCCGGAATGTTACAACCATTAATATTCCAACTCAGCAGTTGCAGAGACATCCTGGTTCAATCTGGTTATTTCTCCAGGGGTGGTATCTTCTCTGGATCTTTAGGTTCCCCAGGTGCTGGTGTTGGTGTTGGCGTTGCCCCAGGCCCAGAAGGTAATTCAATTCCTTTTTGAAGGTCCTCTCCGTATGTAGCCAAAAATTTGTCCCTCTCTTCCAATGTTCTAACTTTGACCTTTCTCCCTCTAAAGGTGAAAGATATACCTTGCTGAAATTCCCACCTGAATGGAATTGCGTTGCTCCTTAGTAGTTTAGCAAGTTCAGAATAGGCGGCTCTAAGATCCAGCAGTTGTCTTGGAATATCTTTATAAATTTCAATTCTTCTATCCAAAACCTCCAGTGACTTTCCGTAATGTAGGCCCAAAATCTTATCCCTTTCCTCCTTTGATCTCAATGTTATCAAACAGTCTCTGGGCCTCTCCTTCTTTATGAATCTTCCAAGTCTGAAAGCTGACACAATTTTAAAATCTTTTTCTTCCAAATTCCAGAACTTGGAGAATTCTTTGGTCAAAAACTCAGTTAAATTTCCTTCTTCTGCCTCTTGTAATGATCTAATCCTCAGATTATTCTCACGATTTCGCAGTTCTATCATAGAAAGGTAAATCTGATGTTCCCCAACTTGTTTAGTGAGTGGTCTTACCTCTTGCTCTAAATTTTCCAATTTTTGTCTGGTATCCTCAGCCAATTTCCGATTTTCTGCTGAGGCCTCCGTTAACTGTCCAATTGCTTGTGTGTTCTGTACCACTTGTATGGTTAATTTATTTAGACATTCTGTGTTTTTGTCAATCTTTGCTGTTTGCACATCTACTTTCTTGTCCAAAGCTTCCAATTTTTCAAAGATTTTGTCTAGAACAGAGACAGATACTCCTGAGGCCATATCTTCCAATTGTAACTGCTCTGCTTCACCCTCTCCCTCTTTTGCCTGTGACAAGGCAACTTCTTCAACTTCTACTTCTGAGGGCAAAGTAGGTACAGATGATCTACGTGTCTGCGAGGCTGAGGTTAGAGTTGTTAAAGTTGTTTGTCTAACTCTCCCTCTCCTTCTTGTGCCACTCATTCCAACGTTATCAATCAGTCAAGGTCACACTGAGTTTTTCCCATGGGAATAGAAAGGCCCAGAGCAAGCAAGCAACAAGGGAATCGAAAGTAAAATGTACCTGTAAAGTCACTGTTTTAATCCAATCCTCTAGAGGGAGCTTGAAATGTCTTTCAAAGTCCAATTTAATATCCAAGAACCTTCAGATACAAATGTTTAGCAGAGTTTATAAATGATCACTTTGTTACAGACAGTGCTTATTTGTCTCCAAAAAGAATGTTTCAAATTTAAAGGGTCTCAATACCCTCAGATTGTTGCAAGTTCCAATAACAGTATCCAAATCTGCAGTACTGACAGCTCAGTCTCTCAATGCTCAGGCAGCTCCTGACTCTGGGTTTCACCTTCTAATTTGTAATCCAATAAAAGGAGGAAAGTCAAGTGCAAATAATAATTCCAAGTCTTTAACTTAAAGTCTTTACTTTGAATTGCAGGTTCAGTAGATGCTTAAATCTGTAAAATTTAAAATCTCTTTCTTTCAGCCTCCACTCCTCCAGCTAGTTGCTTTTTTCAAGTTCAATGGCTGCGGAAGACGGACTTCCTGTTTCCACGTCTCTCCGCTTTCAGCCAAGTTCAAACCAATTAAAGTTTTTCTTTTAAAGTCTCTAATTTCAAGTAATTTTGTCTTTACTCACGAATAAGTTGCTTTTCCTCCGAATCCGTATTTTAACAGGAAAAGGGATCAGCGCTCACCGGCAGCAGCAGCGCGGCTTCACTCCGCAGGCTGTGAAACAGCTCTCAGCGCCGCAACCCCCCTCCACGCTCCGGAGCCCCTTACGGGGTTCCTTTCGCGCTTGGAGGGTCGCTCAAGGCGCCCACCGAGCCTCAGGACCCCCGGCTCTTGCTGCCTGGGGTTTTCCGAAATGGGTCTCCGCTTCGCCGTAGCGGACGACCCGTTGTCTGCGGAGCCTCCTCTCCCGTTCAGAAGAGGACCGCCATTGCCGTTCGCGCCGCCCCCCGGAAGTCCTGCATTGGCTTTTTTAGCTGCTGTGTCACACTGTTGGCTCATGTCAAGTTTGTGGTCAACCAAGACTCCTAGATCCTTTTCACATGTACTGCTCTCAAGCCAGGTGTCCCCCATCTTGTATTTGTGCCTCTCATTTTTTTGCCCAAGTGCAATACTTTACATTTCTCCTGTTAAAATTCATCTTGTTTGTTTTGGCCCAGTTCTCTAATCTGTCAAGGTCGTTTTGAAGTGTGATCCTGTCCTCTGGGGTGTTAGCCACCCCTCCCAATTTGGTGTCATCTGCAAATTTGATCAGGATGCCCTTGAGTCCATCATCCAAGTCGTTGATAAAGATGTTGAATAAGACCGGGCCCAAGACAGAACCCTGTGGCACCCCACTAGTCACTCTTCTCCAGGATGAAGAGGAACCATTGATGAGCACCCTTTGGGTCGGTCAGTCAGCCAGTTACAAATCCACTGAGTGGTAGCATAGTCAAGACCACATTTTACCAGCTTCTTTACAAGAACATCATGAGGCACCTTGTCAAATGCCTTGCTGAAATCAAGGTAGGCTACATCCACTGCGTTCCCTTCATCTACCAGGCTTGTAATTCTGTCAAAATACGAGATCAGGTTAGTCTGACATGACTTATTTTTCAGAAATCCATGCTGACTATTGGTGATCACAGCATTCCTTTCTAGGTGCTCACAGACTGTTTGCTTAATGATCTGCTCCAGAATCTCCCCTGGTATTGATGTCAGACTGACTGGGTGGTAATTATTTGGGTCCTCTCTTTTCCCCTTTTTGAAAATAGGGACAACATTTTCCCTCCTCCAGTCTGCCGGGACTTCGCCTGTTCTCCAGGAATTCTCAAAGATGACTGCCAGTGGTTCTGAGATCACATCTGCCAGTTCTTTTAATACTCTTGGATGCAGTTCATCTGGCCCTGGAGACTTGAATACATCTAAACTAGCCAAGTATTCTTGTACTATCTCCTTAGTTATTCTGGGCTGTGTTTCCTTTGCTGAATCATTTGCTCCAAATTCTTCAGGTCGGGCATTGTTTTCTTTATCGGAGAAGACTGAGGCAAAGAAGGCATTGAGGAGTTCAGCTCTTTCTGTGTCCCCTGTTTGCATTTCACCATCTTCTCCTCTGAGTGACCCCACTGTTTCTTTGTTCTTCCTTTTGCTATGGACATACCCATAAAAGCCTTTTTGTTGCTTTTAACCTCTCTAGCAAGCCTGAGTTCATTCTGTGCTTTAGCTTTTCTGACTTTGTGTCTACACGTGCTGGCTATTTGTTTGAATTCCTCTTTGGTGGTTTCCCCTTTTCCATTTTTTGTACACATCCTTTAATCTTAACTCAGTTAAAAGTTCTTTAGATAGCCACCCTGGCTTCTTTAGGCACCTTCCATGTTTCTGTCTCATTGGTATTGCCTGACGTTGTGCTTTTAGTATCTCCCTCTTAACAAACTCTCAGCCATCATGAACTCCCTTTCCTTTTAGTATTACTGTCCATGGGATCTCACCCAGCACTTCCCTAAGTTTTATGAAGTCAGCTTTCTTAAAGTCAAGAAATTGAGTCCTAGTA